ATCTTGCAAGATCTTTACACAAACTATAGAAGAAACATTATTTTATAAATAAACTGACCAATCTATAAAATTCTATTGTCACGTTGTTATTATTAATTTGAAAACTTTTACTTTATTTTTAACCAAGCCAAGAGGAAATATAATTTAGCCCTTTTTTTTTTATTAAAAGCATGGGAAACATTAAGCCAACTTAACACTTTTTTTGGTCAAAAAGACAACTTATATTTTTAAAATATGAAAATCAAATCAACAAATAATTGATTTAATCGATTAATTTTTTTTTTAATTTAAATTTAAATCTTATTAATAATCATTTATTAAAATTATTTTAAATACACGACTTATAACTAAATATATTAGACTGTTAAATACAATATATTTTATCTTAATCTGAAAAATTAAACAATTTATATATCTCGAATTTTTTTTACCAAAAAAAATAAAAATCAAACAAATATTTATATTATGCTCCTTCTATCTTCAAATAATTATCTTTTATTGATTTTTTAATCAAAATAATTCGACTTTACTTTAATTTTTTGAAATATAATATTAAATTAAAATTCTAAACAATATATTTTAAAAAATTTAAAACTCAAAGTTTTCAATTTTTAATTTTAATTTTATTATTTTATTAAAAAAATGATTAAATTTGAGTTACTTTAATTAAAAAAATCAATAGCGGGACAGATGAAGTAAATTAAAGCTACAAGAGATTGTTTTTTGACACGTCATTTTAGCACAATTACTTTTTTTATCCTTTTTAATATTATAAATTTAATATTTTATCTTTTAATTAAAATAAAATATATAAAAGTATACAATAATTCCCGTTTTATGCTTGATAGCTGTTTAATTTATAAAATTACTTTTTTACCCCTAAATAAGATCCAATTTGCAATGAATCCATCAAAATTTCCCCCAGAATCCGCCAACAAAAAATATCAAATCACAATAACAATAATTCATACACGAATTATACGCAGAAAAAACAAACAGACAAGCAAAAACCAAGATACAACAGTAACAAAGAACGCAAGAAAATTTTTTTTGATAAAAAACAAACACAAAAGCAGAAATCAAAATACAACAACAAGAAAGAACGCAAAAAACTTTTTTAACGGAAAAAGTTTTTTGGGGTTTTCTTGGTGTTTTGGGTTTAGTTAATGAGGATTTCTCTAGAGTTCTAATTTTGGGAAATAGAAAGAAGAAAGGATATCAACATAGTTGTTGCTTAGGAGATTGGGAACGGTGGAAGGGAAGTCTTTAGCAGTGGGTTCTTTTTTATTTTAGGTTTTAGATCTGTACATATAGGAGAGTTTTTTGAAAAATCGGTTTCGTTAGAAATCCTTAGGAGATTGAGGAGAATTTTTGGCTGAATTTTGATCAAAGATCGGCACTGACAACAGTAGCAATCGGTGGTGGGCCAAAAAGTTGTGAGAGTTTTTGGGTTATTAAAGGTTTCGGGTGGTGCTGTTCTTGAACAGAGAAAGAGACGCGAGAAAGTCCAAACTTGGGTGATAAGCAAAAATGAGGAAAAGTGGAACAAAATGATTTTGGTTTTTAACATAAAACCAAAACGCACCGGGTATAAAAGAACGAAGAGAATAAGTAGATCCACGCGAAAATCAAATTAATATCCGATCCAATCGCTTTAACCAATTTTCCAATTTTTTTTCAATTTTAGGCCTGGAAGCTGTTGATATGCTTGGGCCAATTGGTGTCCAAAAACTTAAGGGATTTCTATATAGAGAAGAGTTTTTTTAATTATATATAATTTTCAACTTTCTTTTTATTTACATCCTTTAAATATTCATAATAATTGTTATAATTTTTTTATTAAAAAAATTTGATCCAAGACGTTGTTGGGTATCCTTTCTAATTTTATAAAAAAATTAAAATGAATTTATAGGACTATTTTATCCATTCATTTATAAAATACCATATATTGTTGACACTTTAGCTAACCATAAAATATTTTCTATTGGAAGAAAATTGTAACTACTTGAGTGTTTCTCCTGCTTCGCGAGGGATTTTTTTTTTAATATTTATAAAATTTTTACTTAAATTAATAATAAAATAATATTTTTAAATAAAAATATATAAATAAAGTACTAATAATAAATCAAAGATAATTATTTTAATAATAAAATTATTAATAATTATTTTTTATTTTTATTAAATACATTTTGTGAATAAAAAAAAAAGCCATTTGACATAAGGATAATGAAATAATATGTATTTAATTAGTTTTGATTTACACCTATCCAGTATAAGTTTGATTTAAAAACAATTTTTGAGATAGGATGAGGTTTTTTTTTAAATATATATATTTTTTTATTATTTATATAATTGTATATTTATATGTATTATTAAAAAATATTTTTAGTATCTTAATTTAATGAATTCACGTGCCATCTATTTTGATTTTTTTTGTTATTTTTTGATTTTTTTAAATTTATTTATTAGATAAATTTTATATAAAAAAATTAATATATATATTATATATAAGGATGACAAAACAATTTATATTTGATAGATTTTAGTTCGTCACAATCAAATAAATGCAACTTTTTAAATAAAGATTGAATTAATTTTTATTTTTTTAACAATTTGAGTCAAGTTGAGATAAGGCATTGAGTGCTTTGCATCAACTCTCATCAAAATATATGAGATAATATATTTTATTATTTATTTAATTATACTTATATATTATATTAATAAATATATTATTAAATTTATTCATTTAATAAAAGATTATATTTATATATAATTAAATTATAATTTATATTAAAAAATAAATACTTATACGTTATCATCTATTAAAATTTGATATAAAAATTTTTCTCTTGTATTTAAAACATAATTTTTAAAAAATCCCGCAACGAAAACATGAATGTAATCTTAATACGTATTCTATTAACAAATCAAATGGAAGAGTTGGTAAATAAAAATTTTATTTGGTAATAATTGAAGTTTATTATAATATTTTAATAATTGATATAAAGAGAATAAATATTTATTAAAAAAATAATGAATTTTAAATTTATAAAAAGAAAATTACATTTTTATTTTATCTTTCATTTAATTAGGTTTTGTAAGACTTTATTCCTTTTTTAATATCAAAATAATAAAAACCAAAATCTTTTTTATGAATTTTAACATTTATTATTTTTTCAATAATAACTTTTTTTATTAAACCAATTGGTACAAAATTTTCACAAAATCTCTTTTGTAATTTCCTTAAAAACTTTAGGAACTAACCTATACATATCAAAATTCGATAAGTTTTATAACTCGTTGAGCATGAATTTTTAAAAATTTTTATTAAATAATTTTACTTAAAAATAATCAATCAAATATTAAAAAAAAAATCTTAAAAGACATTTGATTTAGAAAATCTAACGATCCTGAAAGAAAAAGCGATTCTTCCTTTAATCACTTTATCTAATAAATTAAGGTAAAATTATATTCATATGTTTATTATAGCAGAAATTGATTAAGGGAGTGTAAAGTTACCTAATAACATATTTTATTATATTACTCTTAATTATCTTATTAATTGATGTAACGTGAATAATACGTGATAGTTATATTTAAATTAATACAATTTAAAAAATAAAGTTATATATATATATCAAATAATACTTTTGTAAATAAAAATTTTAAAAATATTTGCACATGTACTATGAAAATATATTATAATTTTTTTATGATATATTTTTATAATAGATTAGCTTTTCAGTTTAAATTTTTAGTTTATATTGAAAACTATAGAATTTTTAAAAAATAATTATTTTTATAATAAATTACGTTTTTATCTTAAAAATATATCTTTTTAGTTTATCAAGAAGAACAAATTACATTTTTTTCAAATTAAAACATATGAAGATTACATTTTGATCCCTGATCTCGTGAAATCAATGATGTTTTAGATGATATTAACGATACATTTGATGATGGCCATGTGTGCAAAGTTATAAGTTGTGTCTCAAACCAAGTATTAGGAGAATATGGTAGCAAAGTTCGATGATTGGATTCGTGTACAAAGCTATGAGTCGTGTCTTAAACCAAGTATTAAGAGAAAATGATAGCAAGTTTGATGATGGCTTTGTGCGTAAAGATTGATTATGCAATACTTATATGTGATGATGTGATGTCTTAATCTCACATTGAATAATTTGATAATTTTATATTTTATTATGATATATAAATAGATATTTAAATTTAAAATTTTTTGAGATACTTTTTATGAAATAAAATTATAAAATTTTTAAGTTAAAACGGACAATAATTCAAATTAAGTGTAAATTTTCATAAATAAACTTTAAGTAATAAAGGTATCTCTCAAATTAGTACGATAATTTATAAATGAGATTTAAGTAATAAGGATTTTAATTTATAAAAAAAAAGTTTATGTTTTTATATATACAATGTAGTATTTTCTTTGTTAATATCATATGGTACAAGACTACACTTTTAAGATAAAAAATATAATATTTTTCTTAATTTTTTTAAAGATTAAATTTTTGTTCAAATATGATTTTAATAAAAATCACATTCTTAATCTTAAAAAATAGTATTTATAAAATTATAAAATTATGAAAAATAAAATGTTTCATCATATATTTATTTAACGTTTAAAAAGTAATTTTATTTTATTATATTTCATTATTGTTTTATTTTATAAAATAAAATAAATGACGAAACTTACATTTTCTTTATAGTTTTAAGAAATTAAAAATGATAATAGAATTTGAAAATGCAATTAATTGAGGGTAAATTGGATAAAATTTTTATTTTTCTTTCAAAATCTAATAAAAACTCATGAAGATGAGAGTTTTTAATTTTTCATATTTTTTAATTTTTTATATTGTTAGGAATTAAAAAAAAAATATTTTATGAACTAAACTAAAAAGTTAAATTACGAAAAGTAAAATCTCTGTAAAATATATTAATTTATGACGAACCGAATACCCTTTTGTGCAAATAGAAACTCTCATAGAATATACGGGCGACCACGGTGATTAGAGCGCGTGGTTGATGCCTACAAAGTGTTTTATTGGGCTTTACCATCCTACCTTGTCTGCACCCGGATTCGCTGCTCTCTCTTTCTACTATCTTCACGATTCGACTTTCTTTCTCTAATTGCCAAACCCGAACCCTAAATATTTGCTTTCAAGCCGACAAACGAATTTTGACGTTTTTTAAAATTATTGTTGTTCTTTTAATTACTGATGCACTGATCTCCAATGCGAGGTAGGGATCGATCTGGTGCGTGGAGCTTAGAGTTATCAATCTGGAGCGTCGGCGATGGACGTTTTGAAGGAGAATTTGTCGGAGTTAGAGATTGGGGGCACCGTTGAGTCGCTTCAAAAATTTATAGACTTTCAGAGGGAGCTTTTCCACAGCCAGATCGATCAGCTTCAAAACGTCGTCGTTACACAATGCAAACTCACCGGCGTCAACCCTCTCGCCCAGGAAATGGTTCGTCATTTTAAAATTCAGTTTTCTTTCTCTCTTTGGTCAAAGTTGACAAAAAAAAAAAACTTGAACTCTAAGAATTAAAATCTCTCTTTTTTTACCGTTTTGCAGGCAGCCGGTGCTTTGTCAATAAAAATTGGTAAGTTTCTGCTAAAGTTGCTTTTTAGGGTCACTTAAGATACTCTTGGGAACTATATTAGTATTTCTTATTGAAACTATGGCCATGTTTTATGTAATTGTTTTGAGATTATTATCTCCAACCGGTTTCTTTTGTGGTTATTGATGTGAGAACTATTTCCTAATTTAGAATGGGAGAATTTTTATGAATTAGGATGGTGGTTTATTACTTTACTATCAAAAGTAATTATCAAATATTTTTTCCAGGGAAACGACCTAGAGATTTGCTAAACCCTAAGGCTGTAAAGTATATGCAAGCTGTTTTTTCCATTAAAGATGTGATTAGTAAGAAAGAATCCCGTGAGATTAGTGCTCTGTTTGGTGTTACAGTCACACAGGTATTTATTAGATGATTTATATCTTTTTTTAACAGTATGTTATTTCCTTTCCTTGCACCAATGATATACAAGATATTAAGAAACAGGTTTAAAGTTATGTTAGTGGATCATCTTTTAGTATTATTGTGAATTCGGAAGTCTAATTGTTGCACATCAGTATGACATTGTTACCCATCATACTGTCCCTCAGAGAATGCATTTTAGATTCCTTCATGTTAATTTGCAGGTGCGTGATTTTTTTTCTAGCCAACGCACTAGGGTGAGAAAGCAAGTTCGGCTGTCTAGGGAGAAAGCCGTAAGATCTAATGCGTGTAAAGTAGCAGAAGAAGGGGTGGTTCCAATTGGGTCTGATGCCATGATACCTGTTGAACCAGTTCCCTTAAACTCTGTTGGCCCTGCTAATGCCGAAGAAGCACCATCATGCTTGACACAAGATGATGCTCTTACCGGCATAGACGAGTTGGATAAACATTTTGTTGAAAATATATTCAGTAAGATGCGGAAAGAAGAAACTTTTTCTGGGCAAGTGAAACTGATGGAGTGGATCTTGCAGATACAAAATCCTTCAGTATTATGTTGGTACTTATCGAGGAAACTTAATGCACTCGGCAATAACCATACTGCTGCTTATTTTATTTGGCTCAGTAATGTCTCTTTATCTTGCAGGTTTTTAAACCAAGGTGGCGTGATGATTTTAGCAACATGGTTGAGTCAAGCAGCTGTTGAAGAACAAACAACTGTTCTCTTTATTATCCTCAAGGTTTAAATAGGTTCTATTCAGATGATTTATGGTCCTGTACTTCTAACTTTACCAAGATTATAGTTATTATCTGGAATGTAGGTTCTTTGTCATTTACCTCTACAAAAAACTCTCCCTGAACATATGTCAGCTATACTGCAAAGTGTTAACAAGCTGCGATTGTACAGATTTTCAGGTATGCATTTTTTCATTGGAATTTAATTCTTCTTCTGCCATTTCTTATCTCTACATATTATTCTTGTGCTTGTCTCAGTATGGTTGGATCATTATCTCAGATTTAATCAATGTGTTGAATGCGATAATGATTTATGGCCCTATTGAAAGTGTTTGTATTGCTGTATGATTGTATTAATTTTTATGGTATAATTAATTCTTTGGGTTTTTTCTTTCATTGAACTTAATTGTTCTGAGTAAAATGCTGGGAAGCACTTAACTTATACCTGTAGTCTCTCATGCTTCTGGAGTCTACTCTAGTGGTTGTTTTTGGTTTCTGACTATGTCCTCTATAATGTCAAAGAAAGGGAAATCACTGATGGGAAATTAGAGTGGATATAGTGTTTCTTATTGGACAGTAAATGAAATTAGTGGGTATGATAGTCTCCAATATGTGATAAAAACCTGCTTGTAAATAATCATCATTTATGATGAAAATAGTTTTTGCGCTTAGCTGTATTTATTTGTATGCTTTGTGGTCCTTTGAATCTCACTTATCTGATTTGAAGATCAGACATATCAAACAGGGCAAGGCTTTTGATATCACGGTGGAGCAAAATGTTTGTAAGAAGCCAAGCTGTGAAGAAACCGAATGGTTTGAGGACCTCTACTGAAGCACAGAATGAGATGTTATTGAAGCAGAGGCAAGTTTACATCTTTGCCTCCTATGATTGGTTGATTTTCTTTCAATTGATTTCTTATTATTGCTTTCTGTCTCTGCAGTATAAGTGAAATTATGGGTGATGACTCATGGCAGGCAAATGTTGACAATTCTGTAAGTATTCTGCACAAAAAAATCAAATAAAAATGTTAAAATGACTATATGGTTGTCTAGTGTTTTCTAATAAATGTTAATGGTCTTCCAGGAAGGGATTCTTGCTACTTCTAATGTCAGGTGTGGATATATTTTTGTTAATCTGATTTTTATATGCCCTGGTTGTCTTTCTTAGTATTTTCTAATTGTGAAGATAATAATGGTAATAAACTGTTCAGGAAATTGGAGTCTTCACAAGTTTTGAAACTGCTTCCAGCATCCACAGATGACTCCACAAAGAAGAACATCCTTGGTGTTTCTGGTTCCTGTATCCTTGTCATTGTTTGGTTGCATTTACTGTTCCTATCTGTTTCCTCTTTCTTCCCTCTTCATTATTTATTTTTACTTGTCATTCATTTATTTTTTGGCAGGTTAGGGTGATATATTTTTTATCTTACAAACCATCCAAATAAAAAAAGGAAAACCATTTGTTAAGGAACAAGGTCTCTTATTGGTTTTAACTCTTAAAGCATACTTCGTAGTGCCTTTTGGTTCATTGCTTTCTTATACCTATCAAATACTTTATCATATGAAGTCATGCACATCTGACATGTGTAAACTAAAGACATGTTAATTGCTATTCTTATAAGTTATAGGAGGTAGGCTCCCCCCAATTAGAGTTTGGAGTTCTTATTTGTTTGGGAGATTGATTATAACTCATCCTAACTTAGAGTTTGGAGTTCTTTCTTTTTTTATTTGGGGGTGGGGGGTGGGGGAAGGGGGGGGTGACGATGTGCAAGTACGGGAATTATAATTTTAATGTTTTCTTTGCTGCTAGTTATGATCCGTTTACTTGAATTTCTGGGCTATATATTCTTCTTTTTTACCACTATCTTAATTGCTTAAAATATGCAAGATGATGTATGTGCAATTGTTTAGTTTTTTGCAAGAGTAGCACAGTACCTTAGCTAGTCCAGATAGCAGGGAACGCAGGAAGGTTCAGTTAGTGGAACAGCCAGGGCAAAAAATGGCTGGTAAAAATTCGCAGATAACAAGAACAGTGCCTCTTAGTCAAAGTCGCCCTATGTCTGCTGATGATATCCAAAAAGCAAAAATGCGTGCTTTATTTATGCAGAGTAAACATGGCAAAACTGGTTCGTCTAATGGAATGGTTGAAGCAAAGAGTGAAGGTCTGAACAAACCTTCAACTTCTCAGGCCAGCTTTTCTCCACGAGTTTCTAAAGTTCCTTCTCGACCTGCAGAAGAACAAAAGAAACCTGTAATACTTCCCCCAAAACTTCTAACAGGCTGGAACTTCTTGATCCAAAGCAGACGATGGATTCTAAGGAGTCCCCATGGGAGAAATGCCAGAAGATCAAAATCCCATGGTACACACCACCAGGTATATTTGCTATTAGTGTTTTTTCTTCAGTTCCTTCCTCTTCTTTCTGTTAACACCCTGAATTTTAGATGGTAAAGACCGCCCCTTAAGTAATTTCACGGAGGAAGATTCAATTGCATCTTTGCAACCACAGTGCCTATTTCCTTTCATCCCTCATGCTATCAGCCACAAACTTTTTCATTTTCTACTTTTTGTTCTCAATAGGAATAGTTAACAACCTTGAAATTTTTTTTTTTTTTTGCATGAAACTTGGGAATTGGTTTGGTTGTATATACACACCCTGCTTTTCGTAAAAATATTGAAAGCAACAAAACATTATTACAAATATCCCTCCTGATATGTGAATGATATTAATAATAATTGTACAATTGTTGAAAATATTAGGATTTCCAATTATTGAATATATTGATTTTTGGTCTATTGCAACTTTAGTTCTACACATGATTTTTTTATTTGATGTGTGTACCAAGATGTGGATGAATTAGAGGTCCAAAAAGTTTTGCAGAGAAAATGAAAACCATTAGTTTAAAAATTTGGTGACAGCTAGTCATGGTAGATAAAATACTTAGCCACGGGAGTCCAAATATAATCTCTACAAGGTTTCCATTATCAAACTATGGAGGATGGTATTGCTTCAATAGTATCATGCTGGCTGTTTGAAATGAGTGTGCCTTGATCCAAGGCAGATGTTATCAAAAGGCTGTTTCTAAACCAATAAAAGTGCAATCATTCTTTTAATATTATTCGTAAAAGGATTGCTCAATTGAGTTCAATTGAAGCCTTCTGGAGCTTCAACCTTGAATGACCAGTGATTCTCAGGTGTAATTGGCAGGCTGATGGCAATAAGGGTTTTTCTTTTATGATATTAAACTTGAGATCTGGATGCTACGAAATTGAAATTTCTCTGGATAAAAGTTGCCATGCTTATTCTATAAGCACATTTGGTTTAAAAATATGGTCAAAACTAATTGTCATGATTTTGGAACCAAAATTTGGAGTATTTTGAAGAGTAAGCATTATTTACATTAGCAAAATTGACCAAGGAGGCTTGATGATATCACGGATGTATGGAGCCATATAACAGCATTACAGGATTTTTCTTATGATGCTTAAAGCATTCTAACTTGCATTGACATGCATTATGTCACGGTTCACGGTTCTAGGAAGGAATTATAACTTTCACATCCGTTGTGTATTAGAGTTGCTGTTGAGATATAAGTGTTTACATTATCTATAACTTGTAAGGGGGTTTTTGTTGAGTAAAATTATGAGGTCTAATGCGTTGAAATCACAAGTTGGTGTTGGATTGCAACATTTGGTGTCAGAATCAACCATAAGGTACTGACAATGTGTCAGAGAAGATGGTGGACCTTCGTTGAAATGTCATGGTTTTAAATAAGAGTCATGAATTTTATATCGATTATATATTAGAATTGATTTTGGAATATAAGTATTTATATTACTTTTTAACTTGTGAGATATAATCGTGAAATTTAATTGACTGAAGTAGATAACACCTCATATGCCGATATGAACCGTGGCATATTGCATGTTGCCAGTAAATTCTTCAATCTGCCTCTAATGTTTTTTGAATTCTAAAGCCAGTGTCTGTAGCAGAACCTGCTCTGATTTTTTTTTTTTTTTGGATAATTTAAGTATGACCAATTTTCAGCTATAAAGGAATTGCCAGATAAGTTGAGGGTGGCAGATATTCTAGTTGAACTTCTATCTTTTACTTTGTTGCTGATTTTCACTGGGTGGAGTACCTTCAAAGGCATTTCTTCTTCATCTTCCCATGATTTTTTTTTTCTCCCCTTAACGATCATCCCAACCACAAAGGCAACAACCTTATTCAGTGCTAGGCAATCTATAAGACAAACAATCACAGATTGTACATCCAAAACTTTCAAATTGCTTGATTTTGATCTTCACTTTCTCTTTTTAAGCTTTTTTGGTAAATATTCTGTTCCAATTTTTTTTTTTTTTGTTGGAGGCATCTCGCTTATGTTAATTGATCTGCAGGTTTCAGACCGTTTTAAGTCTTTTATTTAGTCTTTTTTCCTGCAGAAATAAAACTCAACGACCTTTGGAGAGTTGGTGCTGGTGAGAGTAGCAAAGAGGTTGATGTGCAGAAAAACAGAAATAGTAGAGAGAAGGAAACTTTCTATTACACAAATCAGGAGATACCATCTAACCCCAAGGAACCATGGGACCGAGAAATGGACTATGATGACACATTGACCCCAGAAATCCCAACTGAACAGCCACCTGATACTGACTGTATGGAAACACAGGTTACACATGGTGAACACGTAAATAGTGCAGTTACTTTGGCACCTTCCTCCCAAATTGGTGGTGGCGTTGAAGCTGAACCAGATCTTGAGTTGTTAGCTGTACTGCTGAAAAACCCGGCTTTGGTTTTTGCCTTGACTTCTGGACAATCTGGTAACCTGACAAGTGCAGACACAGTGAAGCTGCTAGACATGATTAAGGCTGGTAATTCAAATGATACCGGTAAAAAAGTGGGAGAGAAGGTTGAAATGTCGCTTCCATCTCCGACTCCATCGAACAATCCTGGAACGGTGCGTGATATAGGCTTCTGCCAAGAATTTATTTTCAGTTGCTTGTAGGGCGGGCGGAGCTATTCCCTCCTCGTTGCTCTCCGTTCATACACATTTCATATATAATTAAAAAGAAAAACTACATATAGGAATCCACATTCACTGAAAAAGAAATAAAATAAACCCGATCGAAATAAAAATAATAACGTTAAAAATGAGACCTGCAATAGAAAAATAGCAGCCAACTGATTCACCTCAACTGGCTATCCAGAAGGGAAAACGTTGCAAAGGGTAGAACAGGTTTGTCACGCCATGTGGGTTCATTTTTGTGGATGTCTATGGTCCGCTAAACTACGGTAGGCTTTCACTGCATGCTTAAAGTTGTTGACTGTGGCCTAAGCAACGATATGTTTGGATCATCACATCATTGCTACAGTTCTAAAATTATAAAATATAGTACTGATGTACTCTTTTGAAAAATAATACTTATCCTGAAAATCTCTGATATATTACATCATTAAGTTATATGAGCATGATATTATTAGACTAAGTATCATTATTATTTCACTTTATCTTATTGGATGTATTTGTTTAATTTGCAGAGTGGATGGAGACCGGAGGTAGTCAGGAACCCTTTTTCACAGCAAGCTCAAATGGGAAACAGAGCTGCCCAACCTTCTCTTGGAGTTGGAACCACCACTCCTGTTGCGGAAAGGGTTCCTGCTACTAGCATGGCGGCGCCACAGCAAGTAGCAAATGGCCCATCGTTAGCTCAACAGCTTGCAGCAGCCATGGTACAGTCGTTGCCTCAGTCAAATGCCATGACTCCTGAAAAGCGACAGTCAACTAATTTTGCTTTTTCACACCATGGTCTCCCGTCTAATTCTCCAGCTATACAACCAACAGCTTCCGACATTGCCTTAACCATGAAAAATCAATCCCTCGTTAACTCTTTAACAAACTTATCAGCCGCGGCTGGTCCTTCATTGCGGGTTGGAACTAGGAGTAATGTGAAACCTGCCTCAATCTCCATGACACCAAATGTACCAGAAAAAATGCATTCTTCATTTTCTATGTCTCCCTTGATGCCAACACAGTCACGGCCACAAATGCCACCACAGCTACGGCCACAACAACCCCATGTATCTGATCCTCCTCTTCAAACGCATCTATATTCATCTAGACCCCCAGTGGGAAACATAAGTCCAATGTCTGATCCTTGGAGAGCCAGGCAGAGTTTGGCTTCTAATCCTCATTCTCAGGCTAATCAAAACAATTATAATGCATCATTTGGAGGACCTGTGCAGCCTCAGTTGCTATCAGGCCTTCTAGGGGAAGGAAATGAGTATGTGGGTAATGAAGGTTTTGAGTCATGGAGTCCTGAGAATAGTCCAAAAAGGTCTTCAGAACATGTGCAAGGAAGGAATTACCTGGAACCCGGAATGAATTCCGCGTGGACTTATAGACCTGACAGGTCATGGCAAGGGAATTCTCCGGAGTACCGGGACCAGAACAGACAGGGAAATAGAAGATGGCGTGATAGTAGATGATGAGACTTGCTGCCAATGTTGGCCTTGGGTTGGGGAATGCCGGCCTGTCTATACACAGTGAGTGTTCTTTGATAGTTAGAGGTGGAAAATGGAACGCAATGGGACAAGAAGAACGTTTTGTATACTGGACAATACAAATGCAAATTACAGCTTTCTGGATGTTCCAGTCGTGAGCTTGGAATTTATTTGAGAGGCACATGAAAAGAAAAAAAAAAAAAAAAAGAACTGTGCCATGATTTTCTCTTTGTCCTTCTCTATCTAATCCCTCACGGACTAACACTTTAACCGTGGTTTGGACTGGGCCGTTGTGGCTCAATATCCAAAAATTTCTGTTGGACTTCTTGTTATTTACCGGAAAGGACCTTACCCTAGGAATTTGTTGTAATGGATATCGCAACTGGCAACCAAATTTTGGGCCTTGCTGGATGACTTAACAAAAATTCACATTATGTCTAGAAGAAACTGTTTTTTTTTCTAATTTGAATGAAATACTCTTTTTTTTTCAGATAATTAAAAATAAATTGCATACTCTTATTCTTTTATTTGTGAAACAAACTCCTAGTTTGCCAAAGTGAAAAGGGGGGGAGTAATATAAAATTTTAGCATATATAATTGTGTGATTTGGATAAATAATTTTTAGAAAGAAATTTTGGTTATTCAAATTTGATGAGATAAAAAATTATTATAAAAAATGATGATATTTTAAATAAGAAAAAATATAAAAAATATATTTAATAAGGGTATCTTGAGATCCCTCAAAAAATTTGAAACTATTTATCTTTTTGCAGAATAAAATAATGAAGTTTTAGATTTGTGCATATTCTGATTGAAATCCTCTTTTGAGATATCCATCCAAAGTCCAAACGGACCTGAAATTTGGATATGAGATTGTGACTGTGATACCAGATTTAAAATCCATTGGGCCCATTTCTAGCTCATAAAAACGTCGGCACACACAAATCAGGATTCAAGGCCTAATATAGATGGGCTTGTGATAAACCTTCCAAGCAGCAGATTTCCCTGGCACTGGCGCCGTCTTTCTTTGAGTAGCTTCCCAAACAAACTCAAACAAAGTTAAAAGCCATCTGATTCAATTTTTTTTTCCCTTGAGGAAAGAAAGTCTGAAACAGGAATGGGATTCAGGTTCCAAAATCTAAATCCCATGTACAGATCCTACCTCTCAAGAGTCTCTTCACTCAAAAATCTCCACCCCAACCCCATTATGATCCAGTCCCTCATTCCCCGTTTCCAAGGTTACCCTCTCCCTGTCTTCTCTGATAACCCCAATTACAACATCACCAGACGGTGGCATTTAGGTCATTCTCATGATCACCACCATAATGTAACCAAGGAAGGAGAAAAGGTATTCCGGTTGGGTCTGGGAGCGGATGTCTGTTTAGCTACCGGTAAAGCTTTAACTGGGTATATATCTGGAAGCACCGCCATCATTGCCGATGCCGTCCATTCAATTTCTGACGTGGTAAATACATTAGTCTCGTGAGGGTTTATTAGTAGAAACTTGGAAGTCAAGCAATTAATTTTGCTCCATTTTTTTTTTTTTTTTGGTTGGTTTTGTAGGTTCTAAGTGGGGTTGCTTTATGGTCATTCAAAGCTGCGAAGGCTCCCAAAGACAAAAAACACCCATATGGTTACCTATGATCCGTTGCATCAACAACCTCATTTTTCTTAATTGTGCTCGTAGTAATGTGTTAATTATTCTTGTAAGTGTCTTTTTTTTAATGTATTGCTTGAGGTTCGTAATTTTCCTTGTTTTATTCTCAGGACGTGGTAAGTTTGAAACCCTTGGAGCCCTGGGAATTTCTTGTATGCTTTTGGCATCTGCTGGTGGTATTACATGGCATGCTTTGGAGCTCCTAATTGTATGACAACTTTTGTCTTTCTTTCTATATCTTATGATTTAAAGGTCACGTTTGGTGCATAGGATGATGGATAGGATAGTATGATAATAATTTTATATTATGTTTGGTTTGTATCTAAATGAAAGGGATAGGATTACAAGGAGGATTATCATCCTCTTGGTATGGGATGATGTAATCCTCCCAAAGTGGAGAGGTTTATTTTTAATCTATGGGATTAAACTTGCATATTTTATTTTACCCTTAAAAATTATATCAATAATTTAAATTGTATAAACATTTAGGAAGGATAATTTTGACCAATAAATAAATTATCCTATCTTAATCCTTGCACACATCAAACATAAGATAGGATGACATTATTTAATCTAATCCTATTCATAATATCATCTATCTTAACCTATCATAATCTTGTGTTTCAAACATGACCGAAGAGAATAAGAGTGAAATATATCTCAATATCCAAAATTTCCAAAAAAAAAAAAAATCAAAATATACATGACTGAGAAAAATGGTTACATTTGAAATGAAGCTGATTTGGACCTTACAATAAGTCAACCTTCTTTGTGTTTAGGGGTTGTTGTCCACTGCTCCTGACGTAGTTAATAATCATTCATGGGCTCACGGGCATAGCCATCATCATGGTGGACATCATCATGGAATTGATATGGATCACCCTACACTAGCTTTGAGCATGACCATTGTAGCAATATGTGTTAAAGAAGGGTATTGAGCTTCCCTTTTGCTTATTCTACTTTCATTTCTTTTTCAATAACATCTTTGTTTTGTTCTTTTTCGTATGTGTGATTGCTGCTCCAAATATCAATTTCTTTATGTCGACATGTAGACTTTACTGGATAACAAAAAGAGCTGGGGAAAGGCAAGGCAGTGGACTGATGAAAGCAAATGCATGGCATCACCGTTCAGATGCAATTTCTTCTGTAGTTGCACTTATTGGTGTTGGTAAGACTTCCTTTTGGTGATTCTCTTTTTTTTTTTTAATTTTTTTTTCCTGTTTACTTTTAAGCAATGCCCTGCTGAGTTGGTTATGAGCTTGGTAGGAAATGCAAAATGCAAAATGCAAATCCTTGCTTTTGGTTTGAGGATTGCTAATTAATATAGGTGGCTTTGGCCTCTGGTTTGTTCTTTACCCTTACCTTGTCATTGGTTAGGGTTTATCTAATTGTCTCTCTTCTAAATGCATTTTGCCCATTCAAGTTGAGCTAATTATGAAGATAAGTTTTTTCTTACTTAAAACATTTTTTAGTTTCTTGATTATGCTATTGTATCTGTAAAATATAATTAGTGTAATTTCCATAGCATCCTCTACACCCCTTTTTCTTTGAAAATCTCTCTCTCTCTCTCTCTCTCTTTGGGGGTGGTTGCTTGTTGTACTTTATGCAGGTGAAATGAAAATTTCATTGTCCTTGATTGTTTGATGAAGTCTGAATTATAAATTATGTAATAAACGTAAACTGGTTTCCACCTCCCTTGCCTGTAACTCCCCCTGTAATTGTTTAAGTCTCTAACTGTCGATTTCCTTAAATTGAATTGTATATGAGTGAACAATCAATGACTTTATGCCTTGTCCATGATGATCTAGGAGGCTCTATTGTTGGAGTAAAGTTTTTAGATCCTCTTGCTGGACTGCTCGTCTCAGGAATGATTCTAAAAGCTGGACTGCAAACCGGATACCAGAGGTGCATTGCTTGTTGTCATTTATATATGCTTCAATTCTCTTATTGTTTGCTTTGTCGTGGTGTTATTTTAGACTTGTAAGCTTTCAAAATGACTCTAGCTATTCAACAATTCAAGAGGTAAATGGTATCAATCAGTATGGAAATAGGCAAATGTACCGTTATGATTTATGGTCTAAAATTTCAATGGTGTCAATCAGCATGAAAATAGGCAACTTAATGCTATGCTTAAGGTCTAAATTTTCTTCGTTTATTCTTTTGCTTTTTCAATACCAATGTTTTGGTTACAGATTCAAGTTATCATTCTCATGTCTTCTTGGTTGATTGGATTTGTAGGTCACCTGTTTTAGCCGTGTTTCTTTAAGGCTTAATTTAGTTTTGATCTTATATGTTTGCATTAAAGAAGCTGCTGATATTGATAAAGTTGTGACAAGTGCTTGGCTTATACTTTCATGTTTGCAGCCCTATGATAGGTGTTGTTTCATTGGAAGTATTTCAGCAATGTCTACCAAATATTTAAGCATGGTCTTTAGCATTTTAGATGACACTGCTATAGATGACATGTTGTTTATCCAAAAAAACTCCATAATTGACATGTTCTTTTTGGCCAACTTTTTTGTAGTGTCCTTGAACTTGCTGATGCTGCAGTTCCTGCAGAACAGTTGGAGCCCATAAATCAAACAATTCTACAAGTTGAAGGAGTCAAGGTAACTATCAAAATTTGTTTGCTTATCTGTGTATGAAGAGCAGATACGGTTCTAAACCTAAAATAAATCTCTCAGTAAGTTGACTTCATCTTGATGCATGCACCCTGAATTTTGTATCATGATCTTCTGGCTTGTTGCTGCTGGTGAAATTTACTCTTTCCACAATTGTCTGTAGGGATGCCATCGTTTGAGAGGAAGGAGAGCTGGTTCAAATCTGTACCTTGATGTACATATTGTGGTGAGTTTTGAATTTATTTTGTAATGCCAGTAAAAATTGCAAAGAGGACATGATTGGAAAGTATAAAAAACGCCTCACTTTTGCTAAGCTTACCGAGGATATGGTGTTGAATAGAGCAGAATACCACAATGTGATCCATATAGCCAACCCTAAATAGTGGGATAGGGTTTGCTTGGTTATTTCTAGTACTTTATGTTGTTTGGTTTTATGTTTGACTATAAAACTTCCGATTTGATATTTCTGATCCCCTTTGTGATTTTTCCCTTATGTTTGACCTGCAGGTCAATCCCTTTTCTAGTGTTAGTGCTGCACATGGCATTGGTGAAAATGTTCGTCATCAAATTCATAAATCCCACCCTGAAGTGACTGAAGTTTTCATACACATAGGTATGATGAGTGCTAAATTGGTTGTGACAATTTAGTTAAGATGAGTGCTGTAACTTTAGCCTTTTGTGTTGAAACATGGCCATCTTTAAAAGAAGAAAAAGAAGAAAGGAACTAATTTTCATCGAGGTGGTTACTTCACTTGTCTTCTGTTGATAATTTCTTCTGACTGACTAGTTACATCGTTTCTGACTTCCATGGACCATTTCTTCTACATTTTAGCTTTGATGAATTTAACCTGTAGTCATGGAGAAACGATTGTTCTTGGAGCATGTGATTTTTGACCAGTGTGAATAGTAAGCTAAGATGTACTGGAATGGAGTTTAGCATTTAATTACATTTTTGTTTTGCCATGATATGGTGGCTTTTGGCATAGATATCTGATACCCTAGCAAAAAGATTACTGGTTAATTAGACTGTAAAATCGATGCAAAAACTGTCTTTGCATCACCAAGTTGTTGGCATATTTGTGTTCTGATCAACTCTCTTTTGCCCTTTTGAAATTGTAGATCCGGCATATGTAGAATTCTCCCCTGATGTAATGGACCAGAAAGAAAGTTTGACAAGAATCATGGAACAAAATAGTAATATTTCTATGAGAGAGGAAAATGTTGAAGCAATTGTTTCTCGCATATTTTCATCAAAGTTTCCAGAGGTATCAGTGCTCATTTTGTTGAATGTTTTAGGGTCAGCTATAAACAAAATATGCTATAGATAGCTTTTAAGCACTGAAGTAGCAAGGGGAAATGTGGTTTGGTCAAAGCTCAAGAGGGCTAAACTATTGCTTTTTGTTGAAAGTGAAATCATTAATTTTGTTATTCATCATGTTATTTTTGCCTGTTATTCATGCCAACAACACACTATTGCTTGAGGCATAATTGGGTAGCTTTATGCTTTGCATACTTATGTTCTGAAGCATTTTTGCAGAAATTTGTGGTTGAACGCGCAACCCGTCACATGTTGCAAGGGAAGATATTAGTCGAAGTTGAGGTTAGCATGCCCCCGGAGATGATGATTCGGTACAAGCTCCCTTCATATTGGTTTCTTCAATATATACCACCAATCCACACACTTGGACATTCAAATTCAATACCAATTGCTTTTCTCATTGCAGTGATGCTATGGAAGCGGCAAAGAAAGCAGAAAAGGAGATATTGAATGCAGCAGCTTCAAACATTGTTCATGTCAATGTTCAGCTAAGACTGGGACGTCCAATTCCACAGTTCAAGTATATATAAGCAAAGCTTCAATTATTCGAGAAGCCAGATGCTTCTGGGTCATATAGTGTTTCCAGTACCAAGAAATTTGATTGTATCTTTTTGACAATAGGACTAAGCTTTATTCAAGTCTACATACATCAAGAGAAAAGAAGGGATAGGGAGCCAAGCCAGATGATACAGACAATTGGAGTCTGATTCTTTTAGTCTGACATTTATGTTTTTCAGAAAAAGATATTATCATCTCAATGGCTCTGAATCCGACTTTTTTTTTCTTAATTGAAAAAAGAAAAAATCAAAAGGAATGGAGAGAAGAAGGCTCAGAAGGATCCATTGGTGATTTTGTAATCACAAAGGGCGAATAACCCCTTCATAAAATAGGTAGTTTTTAACATCATCGCCCACCCTCTTTTATCATTGAAAATTAAATTAAACAAAAAAAAATTGCTGAGCATCTAAGAGGAAGAGGGAAAACTGACATGAAACAGAAAAGGAAGCGAATCCATAGCATTGGCTTCGGCGTCGGAGTTGGCAGTCACGAATTGCTATCGCCTCCCTAGTTAAATAGAAAAATCTATATTGGGGTTAGGGTCAGTGAGAGGAGAGAAGGGACAAGGCTTATTACGAGTCTACCCCTAACCAATGTTTACCAGACGAGGCAGATAGATAATTTGAATTTGGGCCTTGAAGGATACCTTTGCGAAATTATGGGCTCTGGCTTAATCTTTGTCTAAGTCCACTTGTTTTCAACAAGTCTCTCATTCGGCCGGAGTTTATTATTCACGTGTTTTGCTTTTGGTACGTACAACTTTATTCACGTCATGAATCTTTTTTTTTTTTTGAAGTATATTCACGTTACCAATCTAATTATTAGTTAAGTATAAATTTATTTGAAATTTTTATTATTTTATTATTTTATATATTTTTTATGAAATTCCATTCTTTTACAAGATTTTTATCTCTTTTTCTGTGGTAGAAACCTAACTAAATGGAATGAACTTAAAAAAAAAAAAAGGGGAGGAGAAGGATATTAAGAATTTTTTCATTAAGAATAAGGTACTCATAATATTCCAAGTCAGATATAAACATTTATTGGATGCAATTAATTTCACCAAAAATTGCCTTGAAAAATGGAAAAGAAAAAAAATTAGCAATGTAACACCAGCCAGTGGGACAAAGTAAGGAATGATAGTCTTTACTTGAGGGTAAAAGCAGAAATTAGGTAAGATGAAATATGTCCAATTCCTATGACTAGACAAAGATAGAATAAGAGCTATGGAGTTTCAAATTAAACTTTCTCAGCAGATTTTTTTTTTTCTCTTTTTCCAGATTCAAATTAATGTGTAAAAGATGGGGCATGTGGAAAACACTTTCCATGGCAAGAGGTCCAAACTTCTACATTTTAGGATTATACTTTATTTGCTCGATTGAGTCTTCATCAACCTTTCTTTTTCTCTATCCAAATTGTAGGTTCAAAATAAAACGAGTTTCGTGTTTGTTGTTTGTTTCAACTTTGAAGAGAAACGAGTCTTGGGGCCTGGGGGAGTAGAGACCCGGTTATTTCGTGTCACACACACATGGCTCTTCCACTGGACACGTTATTCTTGAATTTAAAAATGCAAGGCCCTTTGTTTGACGATAGATAAGTGGGTGTGCACCCAGTGAACCCCATTTGGTACCTAATGCCACAGTGGCCATCTCAGCATTGTCACCATACAAGAGCAAGAAAATCTTCCAGGGATAGCTTACAACTAAAAGTAACCAAAACCTGTGGCTCTCAGACATCCCAGATGGGCTCTTCAATAGCTGAATCCCCATACGAGAGCTGTTGTTGGAAAGGGTTTATCATCGGCAGTCTTTGTTGGCTTATTGCTTCCAGTTCAAATCTTTGTTGCTTATGTTGCTGTTCCTGCAAATTGACTGACCTTGATCCTCCCATCCCCAGTAAATCAAGGGTGGTCATGTTACTTGCTGCACTGCTCGCTCCAAATATTGATGGCCCCGTTGGGTTCCTTTCCATCGCCTGAGTTCTTCCTTGTAACAAGCTAGAGTTACCACTATCTTCATGTTCCAAGTTCTTCATCAAGCCTTGGTTTCGGTCAGCTCCATTAATGAACATGCTAGTGAACATTCCCATATCATTCATTGCTGAGCTTCCTGAGGCAGCATTAAAAAGTTGGGCCATTTCATTGGGGCTTTTTTGCATGACCGGGTTGGAGAATCCTCCCTCGTTGATCCCAACCATACTTGACTGATCAGTTTGTGAAGGGAACTGATCGTAAGATGTGTTCTGCTGCTGAATTCCGCTAAAAGATGATGCTCTGATGGACTGGTCAAGTCCTGCCATGCCACTAGCAAAGCTTTTTTGCATCATGGGAGAATTTATGCTATTACTTGCAGTTGCACCCATCTGGGCTGCTTTCTGCAGCAAGGCTGTTGCAGACATGTGGTTCAACCCTGCAATTTGGAAACCATTTTTGCTGTCTTGTAAATAATTGAAGCCAGATGAGCTATTTGAACTAAGTTGTAGGCTAGAGGAAGCTGAGGAAATGCTTCTTGGGCCGCCAAACAGAGTGCCTGAGCTGCTTGAAAACATGCCTCCCCCCATGTTCATGGACTTAAACGGCATTGGAACTAGCTCTTGGTGAAGGGATTTGAGCGGGTTTTTGGGGTCGAAGTTGTTGAAGTCAGATATTCCCATAGTTGTGTTGGCATTGCTCGTTGGCATTGATGACATGATCTCTGGCATTTGGTTTTGTAAGTTGGATCCCATGTTGTTCATTAGTCCTTGGTTTACCTTGTTGTTTTCTTCAGCTAATGCGTCGCAGAAAGCTCTGTGGGTGATGAAACTGTCTCTCCTGCACAAATAAGAAGCGGTGGGCTAACATTAGGTTTGTTATTGGATACAAATCTTGATAAGAAACAGTACTTTTGATCTAGAGAGAGAGAGAGAGAGAGAGAGACTTAGAAATATGATATAACTACAAAAGGCGTTAAAAAGGAAGTGTGAAAGAGCCTATCAATTGTCGGCTATTGTCTAACATTTTCTATTGTCTGCAGAGCTTAGAGATGATATAATTAATGCATAATCTAAAGCATATATTCAAGACAACCTACATCCAACAAGAAATTTCTAAAATCTAAAATTGCTGTAGAAGTTCGGAAATTACCATGCAAAAACATAACAAAACTTTAATTAGAGTCATGCAATATCTTTAAATTTCATTAAATATTATAATATAACGTCTATAAATTAACCTTGAAAAGATGGTTCCACAATCACATTTGTATTCCCTAGTACCACAGGTCTTCTGATGAGCTTTCCAATCAGATTGCACAGCATATTTCTTTGAGCACTTGTCGCATTTCCACTTCTTCTCGCCATGTTTACGGCTAAAATGCTTCTTGATTCCTGTAAGATCCCCTAGTGCGCGACCTGGGTTATGGTGGACGCAAGTTGGCTCGGGGCATATGTAGACTCGTTTCCTGACCTCAGTGGTCGACCTTTGCCTTAGCTTCCATGGAAGATTGTGACCTCTTCGGTGCAATTGCAGGTTTTGGTCCCTTTGGAATCCTTTGTTGCAGATCTCACACACGAACCGATTTGTCGCCATAAGCGTTGTTGGTGATAGAGCAATAACTTCAGCATTTGGGTCTAATTCAAGCAACAATTATACAATTAGTATGTTCAAAAGACTATTACTCCTTCAATTAAAGCATGTGGTAGTAGAAGATTTGCTTGAAGAAAAAAATTTTGAGTATCGTTTTGCATTATGATTTGGACATTAAAAAGCCAATGGCCCAAATAGAACAGTCAGAAACAAAAAGGGACGTAAAAAAGTGCAATCAAGCAAACAGTTCTTGACAATTATTGTAATCTCATAGCAATAATTGAACCCTTTATGTAACAAATTAACAATTAATCTTTTCTTCCTAAAAGCTACCAGCTTTGATTTCTTGGAAGATACCCCCAATTAGAAAAGCTTGTTCTTTTGTGCTGCTTAACTCGATCAAATCTACCTTGACATGCATGCTTTTATTGAAGCATGTAAAACTTAAAGCCATGCATCTAACTCAAATCATAATTCAAATCTAAAAACCAAATATTTCTTCAGAACTTCCCTGTGTTATAAGATCAATTATGTCACTTAAATTAGGTAAAGTTAGGATAGAAGAAAACATAATTGAGATTCATGGAGGGTAAATGGATTTGCCTGGAGTTCCTGGTAAATTTCTTTTCTTCTTAGCTGCTTGCTGTGGCTGTTGAGAGGTAGAATCATTGCTGTTCGAAGCACCAGAAGGTCCTGAACCTGAGCCAGGAAAGTTATTCTGCAGCTGTTGTTTCTGCTGCTTCTGTTCAAGCTGCTGGACTTCCTCTCCAGTGTTTCCTGAAGAGAAGCTTCCATCATCACCTGAGATATTTGACATTTGAAACTGAGAGAGGAAAAATATAGTGATAAATATAATATACAAGCTTGTCAGCTTCCTCTTCCTTGGCTCCAAATTCTATTGTTTCTTTCTTCTTTTCTTGTTGTTGGTGCAACAACTAAAGTGGGGACTTGTTTTTTGGAGAACATAAAATCAGGAATCTGCTCTCTCTCTAGGAAGACAAAAAACCAGGGAATTCTCTCTCATTTGTGATGAAAGAAGAGGGCTCTAGCTGCCACAGGAGAAACATTGGAAGCTGGTCTTCTTTGGCTTTCTATAAGTATATATGTACAGGGTTAAAATTTGAAAAGGACAATTACATGGAAATTGCCCCCTTAATTTGCTGATTATTGATTGATTGCCATCTCTTTCATTGTTTAATTATTAAATTATTATAAATTAATTTAATTGGTTCTACAAGATGCCTTTTCTTGTGCGGTACTAATAATGTTATCATGATCATAAAATCAATTAAAGTTCACAGATGAGAAGATTGATTGGAATTCTTATCAATCTAGAAATTGGAGCAAATTGAAAACCAAAAAGTTTTTCCAAGTGCAATCTTCAAATGACATGTATAAGCAGATAGTAGAATTGAAACTATATGTAATTAAAAAAAAAAAAGACATAAGTTTAACCAGCAAGAGAAAAAGAGTTGCTGAAAAGAAAGAGTAATATCCATTGTATAGGTCAAAATTAAGAATTTCATAATTATCAGTTGAAACTGTGCCGAATCCCTTTTGTCTCATTTGATCTAAACGATCGAGGGAACCAAACAAGTCACCGTCCAGACTTTCAATTTCTCATACATAAATTAATCACATTAAAGATGGTTGCTGCTTTGTTTTCTAGGTACATTATAATATTTAGAATAAAGACGACAAGTAAACTTGAATATAATCTTAAAGAATTGCATTAACCCAGAATTTTTTTTGCCCTGTTTCAACCAGTAAAATTATGCCCCCGGAATTTGCTTGACGCCAATTTGCTGTTGCTGAATTTTTCTGATCAAGAAAACGCTCTGCTTATAAAAAATATTGTTTCTATCACATACTTTATTCTTTTGCCAAGGAACTTTGTATAATATGACATTATTCATATTTCCATTATTCTTTCAATAAATTATTAATTTAATGATACTATAATCAATTTTAAGACCGAAGATATTCGAGTTTGAATCTATTATAATCTTAAAGAATTTTCATAATTCTAGCTAAATTCCTCTTGTAATTGTCTACGAAAAGTATTGGAAAAAAATATTTTTTATTTTTTAAATAAATTTTCTAGGGATACTAAACCGATCTTTATTCATGGCTAATTGGTTTTGCGTGTTTTTTTTGCTCCTATTTAATCATGCTGGGGTGGGTGCCACTATAGTTAAATCAAAGGATGAAAAAAAGGTGATACATGGAAAAAGTGCAATAGCCATTTGCCTAACCGACAAGATCATAATCCTTAATTCAGGGAAGAGCAAGTGTACTTGTTCATTTGTTCAATACTACAAGTTAAAAAATGGACAATATCAGTGTGTTCAGTTAACAACCATTATTAAAATTCTGGATAAAACCAAAAGAAAATCCCAAAATATCATCCTAATTTCTTCTTACCAATTAAATTAAGTACTTTTTGATTATTTAGGAGGCTCAAACTCAAATTTTCTCTCACTACTTTTCCCTTGAAGATCATATTCTTCAAACTTTTCATGACCGTGTTGAACAAGTTTCATGTAAAAACCAGACTCCAGTGGCATTTTCTTTCATTTTTTTTTTCATTTGAAAGAAGAAAATTAATACTTGCATGTATGTTGAATTATTAGCAGGATTTTAGGTTTCCAAAGGTTAGTTCACAAGTTCAATAAGAAACAACAAGAAGCCCGGCTGGAAAATGAGAAACAACAAAGAGACAGAAATAAGAATGTGAACCATCGACTAAGTTCTAAAACTCTGGTCAATCAGATTTCAAAATAAACCATTTTGCAAGCATCTGCTACTTCTCCACCAAGAACTACTGGTCAAGACAAATGGTATTGCTTAGTTTTCATCGATGGCGGATCGATATAATTTATGAAGCAAACATCAACACAACAATGTGGAGACAGAAATGTTTCCAACATTATACGTTTTGCTTGATTATTTTATGGAAAAGATAGAATATACTGGACGACCCTAAGCATCATTCAGATGCTGGAACGCCACAAATGCTGAATATTTTAGAACGACCCAGGTTGCTAGTTGACATAAGCTAAGTAACCCCATGGATAAAAACAACAGAAAAGACAGCCATGGCCTTATATTCTTTTCCTTTCTTTTAGTATTTTTTTCTCATGACAATGATGTTTGATCGAGGTGAAAAAACACCAATGAATATTCTATTGTTTGTTAAAATGGACGTGTTTTTCACTATAAAGAAAAGGAATAAAAAATAATTGAGAATGATATTTTAAACATTTTAATCGTGTAACAAGTATGGACCTTGTCTATTTTGTGTCTGGTGATGGTTAATTTTCAATAATATTGTAAATTGATGGATTTGGAAGAATTTGTTTCATCTTGAGTGGTTAAAGGATAAGAACTAGCTTTCGTAATGCTCCCATTTTGAAATTTATTAAATTAAAAACTAAAAAAGAGATTGGTCATTATATTACTCTGATGAGTTTTTTTTTTTTTTTTCTTCTTCACTAAAACTTGAATTGGAGGATCAATAATGAAACTCACAGGAGAATTGATGGAGATCAATTAGAGGGAGAAAAAAAAGAAAAATCTTTAGGAATCCAACACCTTTTTGACTCGTTAAAAGATAATCTAAAAAGTGAGAAGATGAAAAGCATTATTTAAAATAACGGCAATTGGGGTTAAGATTATAACATTAATGATTAACATCATCATCACCACCGGCCTTATGAAGTGGGGTCTCTCAGTCTATCTATGTAAGAAAAATCTCAGCAAAAATGTCCAAAGCTCTAGGCTCGAAATGGAAATGGGCCAAGTATGGCCCCTGCCATTGACTATGTCGTAAAGAATCTTAGATTGTGAATTATGAAAACAGAATCGCCTGATCCTGAATCGTGAAAACAGTTCTGTAGAAATTATCCAAAGCGCAGAACAAAATCTAAAATTTTCTTCATATGAACATTAAGTTTGTTTTGTTATGCTTTTAGTATTGAAGACAGAAAATTGAATGAGACCCTTGACTGTTGAAACTGAACCTAGCTTTGTTTGCGTAGCAATCAAGCGCAGCGGTTTCCCACCTAGAAAACATTGCTCATTTTCACCAGTTGGAATGTGTAAGCATCAATGATTCGCAAAAATTTGATAACTCGTAATTGGGTAGACGTCAATTTCATGAATTTTGTAGGTGTCATGTTCTAATCTAGCTATAGAATGCACATGCCTTTCCTAGGGATAAAAATGCGATAGGTTTAGGAGGAAGTCCCCAAGGAAGATTGGTTTTTATATGGGGCACATTTTCCCTTTCTTTCCCTTTTTCTCTAGTGGGTAACATGCAAGCGAAGAAAATTTTGGCATTGATTTAACGTTTGTTATTGGCTTTAAGTAGTTATATTTTTGCCTGTGAAATTACTCTGATCTCTGGAATTGTTTCCAGAAAAAAAAAAAAAAAAGGAAAGAAAAAAACCTCAAATATCCTACAATGGCAATGCCATCTTGTTCCGAATAAGACAACTAAAAGAAAGAAACTGTGAAAAACAAATCAAGCAATGTGACCGACCTATTCCAAATGAATATAGCATCATCAATCAAAGAAACTGTGAATACAAATCAGAAAATTTTCATATTCATCTCCATTCCACTGACATAATAAAAAATAAAACCTGGAAAAACTAGTACACCCAGAGGAAAACAATTTATAAAAACAAAGCTGAAAATGAACACTGTTTATGGAAAATAAAAAAATTTTCTAAAACCAAATACGGATTTAGAGAAATTATTGATAAATTTTTACTATTTGCTTTTCCAAAAAAGATTTAATATTAACAACAGGACAACTTTGTTAAATTGAAAATCTTTTAGAGGTATACAAGTCTTTTGCTTTACACACTTTTTTAGGACATATATAGAAAGAGATAAATTAACTGGAAAAATTACAGTCATCTTTACCAAGATCAAAGGTTGGCATTAGGATTATTCAGCAGTCAAACAGACCCCCAGAAGGGGTACCGTTTGCAAGTCAATTATCTAGAAGAAAGTAAGAACCACCTGTGTCAATTGCTCCTACACTAAAAAAGTTTACTCCAGTTGAAGGAATTGCTTTCCCGCCTCGCCTTTCTGAGATTATAACCCCCCATTGGACTATCGGTTTCATCTGACTTATGTAAGATGAACGTGTGTCAGTGATACTTCGATTTTTCACCAAACGTTTGTCAGGAATCTGTAGCTAGTTGGGTGAAAGGGGTGTTATGTTTTCCTCGTATAATCAAGGAAACATTTTCCCTCCCAGTTATTGACTAGAATAATAGAAATCACACAAAACACAATGCTTTGGAGGACATAGAAGAGGGATGTGATTTTTCAGGAACAGCTTCGCAATTAGCCTGCTCATTTATCCGTGTATCCGATTCAAATTTGAGACTGACTGGTTATTTTTTTCGCACTGTAGAGACCAGCCTATGTCTCCTCCATATTGGGGTTACTAGCACCATATCTAAAATTGGCACTAACAACAGGCCTTCCTCGAGCTCTTCGTGAGTTATTCTGTGGAGCCTCTGCTATCTTTCTCTTCCTCTTGGGACTGAAGAATCCATATTCAAGAGCTTCTAATGCTTTTGTGGTTAATGGTCGGTTCCTAGTACTCTGCCTCCGGTTGAGCATTATAGGATGCTGATCGACCTCTGCACCTTTATCAGGAAGCTTCAATGGCTCAGGCTGAACTGTTACTTCAGACTGAAAGAATGATATATGTGAACATGAATTGTCACTATCTTGCACGGTCTCTGTGATGAAGGGTCCTTCGGTTTCAAGACCCATTGAATCTTGAGGAACATTTAACTCTATCAATGTATGTGACAGAGTTTTTGTTGGAGATTCTTCTCCATGCAGGCAGTTTTCAGTGACAATACCTTCCTTTCCCTCATCAGGACCAGCTTTAGACAAAGAACTGGCAGGTGACAAGTTTTGGGATCCCGTTTGAAAAACCATATCTTCACAAGCATCCAGCGAGTTAGGCCTACAGTGAGAATTGTCTTCATTTAACATGTTGTCAACGGAAAAGTTTTCAACACTACTGCTTGATTCTACATTGACACAATCAGTTGAACCCTGCTGTTTAGTAACAGGAGCCAAATATTTTGAATCATTGGACTGCTCCTTTTTGCCGAAATTATAATTCATAACCTTTTTCTCCTCATCATCAAGCAGACTTGTGTGGGGGCTTTCATGATTTCCCACTGATATAATGCTGGTATCAGAGGTGTGGGGAATGACAATATTTGAATTACCATTTACACAATCTGATAAGTCCACACACTCTCCCCGATTTGCCCCGGCCTCTGCAGCAATTGTAGTACTAGTTTCTTCTACTTCATCTTCCGAGTCCTTAGATGTATCCTCCTCAGAATCACTGGAAATACTAGAGGGGGTGAATAAGTTAGTAGCTTCAAGAGGTAAGCTTCTCAGCTCTCTAACCTTGGACCGTTCAGCCCCTTGAACCAAACTAGTATCTACAACTGTAAACTTCAATAGATCTCGATTGCAACCGGAATTTTGTGGCTTGAGATAATTATTACGATTATTTGTCATAAAATCAGGATCTTGTTTTATTACTGGGTCCCACTTATTTTCTTCATTCTCTCTGCTGCCTTTAGCCACTTCAATTTCAAGCTCAAGAAGCACTGGTTCTGATGCAACTTTTTTAAGAATGTCACTAACAGAATCAAAATAGTGGTCACCTTTCACTAGTCTCCTCCTTGAAAACTTCTTAACACCAGGTATAAGGAACACCAGAGAATTCTTTGAACCAGAAAAAACCTGATCCCTTGGCTGTTCAGAGTGCCAACCTCTGGCTAAAAGGCGAGGCCAAACAGCTTCCCAGAAAAGATCGCTGGATCTAGTTTTGCTCAACCTAAAATCTCCTGTTAGAAACTTGATAATATCTGCTGATGTAAGAGTAGAACATGCTCTGCCAACTGGTATTTCAGGACGAAAAGAAACTACATGATTGGCTTTTATTGGCTCCATGGCATTTCCAGTGAGGTCTTGCTTTCCTTTGCCAATACCTATAGCTTCTACGAGCATACCAATGCCAACTGTATTCTTTATAGTGAATACGTAATCCTCAAAGGAAACTTTCCCCTCACCAAACGTCTTAGAAACCTGCAATAATCAGAATTCATAAAACATCATGATGAAATATTTTTGTCTCTGAAAAATATAGACCAAATATACCTGCAAAATTAGGTGCATGCAATAATTCAGCAGTAAACTGAGAATTTCAACAATAAATGGACATTGATAACAGAAACCAGGATCTAGGAGTTCAAACGAAATCAATAGATGTTCTTGAAAAGTAGCTAATAATAACTGCAATATTCTTAAAGATACACTGCAAAATGCCTAAGATTTTAGACAGAGGTTGAAGAAAGAAATCTGTTATGCCTAGTTGAAATGCAACCCCATTTTCAATCCATTCTATGTGTAGTTGAAATAGACCAAATAAGAGGGTACTCCTTTTATTCTCCTTTCACTTGTCCATTTGAAAAAACAGATGACGCCCTAGAGATACACTGCAAAAATACTCTGGATATTCATTTGAATATCAGAGGAGATGCATTCCTAAGAACATGAGAAGTTTCTATGCATTATTGTAATCCTTTATCAACATATATTCTCCTATGTTTCCAAAACTGAGCAGAGTTTGAAGCAATATACAGCAAAGAGTATATAACCCCTGGAATAAGAGATTAACCTCAAAATATCCAGATAGAAAGCCTGACACTCTATATACCATGCTTAAAAAATGCTGGAAGCAGTCCAAGCAGGAGACAAAAGGCAAACTGCTTGTTAGAGACAGACAACAAAACACCAACAACCATTTTTATTGATCAACCTAGTTCACGGAAGTAAAATCCTACGTGCATGCCTAACTGAACCAAGAAGATGAAGAGACCAAAATATGCCTTGATAAATCCAAAAAACTAACAACAAATTTATGTTTACTTTATCATCCTATTGATACATCAACATTTCTGAAGGTGCTAGTCAACAACCAAAATCATCCTCTTCCATTATCAAAAAAAAAAGAAAAAAAAAAGAATCTAGCTCTTCCACTTTATCCTCTAAAGATGGGCCTTTAGTTAGGTGTCCCTGTCAAAACACAGGTCTTCAAAGAGAAACACTGCTCTGTTTCAATCCATCAACAGACGACTCAAACATGGCCCTAGTTAAACCTACATTCTTTGCTAATCTGCTTCGACTTCCCCATCTCAAACAGTAGATAGCATCTAAGTTATTTTTTTGGTTTACAATATTACACTCCACAAAATCATCATTGATTCCCATGCTCAAGTATGCTGCTCTCCAAAGTGGTCTGACTTCAACCACCCTGAAACGTTACACAGTCAACACTATATGTATCTATGCAGTTTGCTTGAAGCAAATTTTACAAAAATAACACTTGAAAATAAAATTAGAAATCATGTGCAAATTCCAAAAATAAGGTTCCTATGGACATAATAATGTAGTGTTCCCAGACTCTGTTAAGGGAGTAAGGGAGAAATAAAAAGATTAGGAAGCGTCAATGTGTACACTTTACAGCACTCAATGATATATAAGGACTAATTAACAAAATAAATATATGTCTAACTATTTAGAAAGATCAAAAGAGTGGGGCATTGTGCATAAAAAAGTCAGAAGAATACCTCAAGCAACATATCTTGACATCCTTTTGAAAGATGAGAAAATAATCGTGATAATAATTCCTGTTGCCTCCATCCGGTGAATAGCTTTTGTCCATGAATGCACCGTCTGCTTCTTAACTTTCGGCATTCTGACCATCTACGGTATTCATCAGACCCGTAAAATTTTCCATAATAGAAAGACAATATCTCTCCCATCTCTTTACTCTCAACAAAATTTTTCACAAGGGTAAGATTTTTTCCAAAGATGTATAGCCCAAGAAGAAAACTGTCAAGTTCGATATCTTTACATACTTCACTTAAAGAGCCTGGAAGAGGACAGGGACCTCTATCCACTTGATTCAGCTTAGATTTTGGCTCGTGTGGAACGAGTAAATCAACATCCATCTTACTTCTGGTTGTAAGTTGAATCTTTGAATACCCTCTCATGTCTTTCCTATCACCCAACACAGAATATAGACTTTCAACTTTGTATTCTGCACAACCATGGCTTGACGTAATGCGGCTCTCTTCACTGTTTTCAAATTCAAATGCACCATTTATGCTTTCAACTCCAGTCTTTGTCCAGAAAAAGGGGATAGGCAATCCCAATGGAAAAGGGTTTGGCACATTCATTACAACTTTTGAATCAATTGGTTCCTTTACAACCTGTAAACTATGACATTCTCCAACAAGAGGTGGAATTTCTGCTTGGTATTGACCTCCAACACGAGGGATCACCTGTGGATCTCCAAAAATTTGATCCAAAAAGGAACATGAAGCAAGTAATTGTTCAGCAGATTCATCTTCCACGCCCTCCATGTCATTATCCAAAAGAGTAGCTTCCATCTACTCAAGAATTGAGCAAAAATAATTAAACTGAAAAAAAACTAAAATGGACATAAGACTGTATAAAACCAACCCTGGAGCCCTAATTTACTTCAAGAGGGTCCCGAATTCAAACAGAGGGACCTCCTTATATAGATAGAAAAACTATGATTATGTATGACAACTTTGTAATATTTTGAGATAGAAATACATTGCAGCATTAATTTTCTACTGTTAGACCTACATGTAACTGTTAAAGTCAATTTCTTCCAAGTTAAATTCCAAATATAATTTCTCTAAAGTATTTATTTTAATTCAAGAAAAAAAATTGAACACCAATAAATAGAGGAATTCTTTCCGCACGAAAATTTGTAATTACTAGCATTCGATGTGGGGGGAAATCCTACCGTTGTTTCCTATGCTTAAGATTGAGGTAGGACCCTTGAGAATTCATAACGTGTTGAAAAACTTTATGGATGCAATTAACCAAGACAAACATTTATTGAGAAAAGAAACTTTTGCAGTCTAAATTCATCAGAAAAAGATCATAAATTCAATAATCATCTAATGCAAATACAACCAAAAGCTATACAATTATTAAACCTAGCGTCTTTTTTGGCCGTTAATTATTAAACCTAGCTTAGTGAATAAAATTTCCAACATATTTCTCCAATCTGAACAAATAGGAGCACTTAATCCAAGGATGAATTAGCTCATGACTACAATTAAAACAGATAACATTTATATTTCTAGTCATCTAAATTACCAAAAGCAAGAACCAGATGCAGGTGGATACCGACATTCAAATGCCAAGGCACATTTTTCGCAAGCCGATTGAACAGACAAAAGAACAATATGATACCGAAATCTAAGATACCCCAATAACACATAGATGTCAATATATCAATATCAAACAATCTCAATGAAACGTGCAGTATTCAGTCAAATAAATCAATCTAGAAAACATGTCCACTTTTCAGAGAAAATTAACAATGAAACTTCATTTGATTAAACATGTAACAAATTAAAAAACTATAGAAAACAGTAAGAAAACTACAGTAACTAATAAACAGTTGATAAGAAATGTAAATAAGCATGCAAAATATCGGGTTTTTTTTAAGAAAAACATATGGCTAACCTCCATAGAAGAACTCGAACGTTAAAACCCACGTGCCAAAGCCAACCTGGACAAATGGGTTTTCATTGTTATACATCTCTATAAACCTCGATTGTCAACTTTTTGTTTTTCCTTTTTTTTTTCTCTTCACTCTTTTCTTGTTGCCATAAATAAAAGCAGAGCAAAAAAAAAAAAAAAACCATAAAAACAAATAAAGAGAGAAAAGAGAAAGCAAGACATTGTGAAGAAGATTTTAGTTACCTTGAAGGAGAGAGCGTAGCTTTCATTAATACAAAATAGTTGAATTCTTGAGGACTTAGCAGAGAGAGAGAGAGAGAGTAAAACAATAAGAAAAAAGGAAGCACAGAAATTCTTTTTAGTTTTGCTGTTAATAATGAAAAAAAAAGAAAGAGACAGAAGATTAACGCTTTGTGTTCGGTTTGATTTATGAGAGTTGAGACCACACGCGTTCGTAGGTGGGTTTGGATGCATGGAGGAAATGACGAAAAAGGACACATCTATGTTCCTTTAGGTTGGTTTTCGACAATCCTATTTTAGGAAAATTAGGGCAGTGTTTTTGGATATCTTTTTCAAACAGTACACATTCTTATTTTGCTTTCAGGCGAAGTTTTGCAGTGAGAAACATTGACAAATATAAGAAACAAAAAAAAAGAAAAAAGAAACCTTTGAACATTTTTATTTCATGCTGAAGCCTTGCATAATAATCAAAATTAATAAGATCAATTAGACCTTTTCTCAATAGTGGAAGAAAAAGGTTATTAAGGGGAAATAGAAAACTTGTATATATCTATATATATATATTTAATAAGATAAACAAGTATCCGTCTATTCAAACAATAAGACTAGTCAGTCATGCCCACACGCACTAACTTACCAATTGAATATTTTTTATAATAAAAATATAATCTGCAATGTTTCACTATAAATCGTTGAAAATGAAAAGAAAAAATTCATCTAATATGTTTTCTCTCTATCAATTTAAGTAAATTTAATTACGTTAAATTTGTTCATTTCATAAAAATTATTTTTGTAGAATTTTGCATCTAATTCAAATTTAAAATAATTAATAGAGGAACATAACTTTATGTCAAATTTAATGAATTTATAAAAATTATTTTTCATTTTTTGACATATTTAAACTCAAAATAATTAAAAAAATAACTTAAAAAATGGCATGTGGTTTTTATTTACTATAGTTAAAAAAAAAAAAAAAGAATGGCTTAACTTAAATATTCGACCTAACAAACATAGGTACTGAGATTTTGAGTTTCTACTTTAATTTCTTGGTATGTGACGTATACTCTTGTTGGGGTGGATCATTGAAACCAAACCCATAAGGAAAAGAAAACAATTAAGTCATATTTTTTTAGAAAGGAGATCAAGGTTTCAAAGAAGTTAGGAAAAAAAATTTATAATTCTGGTGTGACAAGCGATAAAAAATATAAAACCTATATATAAAATTTTTATTTAGATATTATAGTATTGACATTTCCGTTTGACTTTTGTAAATACAAAAAATTATAAGCTTTAATATTAATTAAAACAATTTGGTGTTTATTTGATAAATTAATTCGAAGAAACTTTGAAGATAAATACGAATCTTCTTTGAAATCTTGGAGATTAAGAAAAATTAATTCATAAAAGTATATAATTGTTAAATGCTGATAATACATTAGATTTTGTTTTTATTTATTTGATCCTCGTCAGAAGAACTGTCTCAAGGCTGTGATGGACCCAACTAAGAGACAAAAATTTTTCCCCAAGGAGACCGTCTCACTTTTCATGAAAAGCCCACCATCCAATCACTTGCGTCCATTAGAAAAGTAGTTCGGACTTAGGAATGTCATTTAATCAGACGGAACTGATCATAGCAGATAAGCCGTGGGGCCTAAAAGTGTACGGCCCTGATCGTGTTGTATTACAAGTAAACGTCATCTTGTTTGTTGACACTTACTGATGGGCGATGGCTGCGATGCAATAGCCCATTGTTCCTATCTCAATCTATCTCCCAATCCCATGGTTTCCAGGCAATGGGCCCACAGCCCTGCAGCCATAAACTAAACAATCGGCTGTTATGTACTTTGGTACATTTGGACGTATGAGAAGGTTAATTTTGACGAGATTAAAAGTAAATTAATTATAATAAAAATTAAATATTATAATAGTAAAGTTAAAATTAATAATAATATATATGAAAGTAATGAGTTATCATGAAGATAATGTTTAGACATTATCCTTAATTCGTCCATTATTTTTCTAAAATATATATTGGGTGTCAATTGCACAAAATTTGAGATTAATCGAACCGAAATTCAAGTTCAGTAGCATCCAAACATGGCCTTAGAATTAAATCCCTGCTGCCATCGCCCTCAAAAGGTTGCAAAACGATAAAATTTACATAGATAATATTTGACTTTGGCATGAGATTAAATAATTTAAACTTTTAATTTCATTTAATAATATATTTACTTTTGTTATTAGCTTTTTTTAGCAAAAGGTAATTGACCGAAAAAAAAAAAAAAACATGTTCATCCTAAAATTAAATTTTTTGAAAATTTAATGGTTTATTTCGAACTTTTTTTAAAATTGCACAAATTTTCAAATTCCACCGGTTACATGCTTAAATTAGTTTCATCCTAGAATTATCCTGCTCTCGTGCAAAAAAAACAAAAAAAATCACATTTGGATTGACATTGATTTGAGGCCATTATGGCTTCCTTAACTATAGCAACACGGGTCAACACCTGATTATTATTCACCTATATAGATTTGGGACCATATATACTTTTTTATATACTTTTTTATAAAGGTCTGTTATTCCTTTAAAAATTGCCAATACAATAAAGAAACAAAAAAAAACAAAAAAAAAAAACCAACGAAACATAAATTAAAGGGTTGCCACGGGGCGGCTTACCACAAGGTCTTTTTTTTTTAATCCGCAAAAGAACTGGATAGATTAAAAGGATAATTAAAGTAAAATAGCCCAACATAAACAGCATGGGCTCTTCATACAATTTCAATCTAATCCCAAACCCAATTTTCATTACCTATCTTTGGACCAAACAGAGGATAAGTGAATCCAAATCAAGTAGGCCCATTTAACTACACATTAAAGGCCCAAGTTCTCACCACTTGGTTTTGCAACGGCATATGAATATCCTCCCCCCCCCCCTTTTTTTTCCTAATAATTCTTGTCTATAAATTCTCTGAGAAGGGTATAGTTACTAGATTCTTAGATTTCATAAAGAAAAGTGATTTCAATGAAAAAGTAATATTGAAGGAAAATGAATGATTTTTGAGATTTTTTAATTCTAAAAAATGTAAATTTTTTTATTTAGTTAAAATAAATGTGAAATTACTTAATAAAATTTTTTATTATATTATCATTAATAATATGTAAAGAAATAACTTATTTATTTAACATTTTATATGATTTTTTAATTATACATTATTTATATTTTTAGTTAAATATTTTCAAAATATTTGTATATATATTTTATTAAGTTGCATGGAATCTAATTATTATCTTAACATTGATTGTTTCTATAAAGAGAAAATACACGAAGATCTTAAAATAAATTTTTTATGTAATAATATTAAATAAATATATTGTAGATTTTATACATAATAACATTAAGTAAAGATATTTTCCATTTTATTTGGATTTTGTTATGAGTATCCATTAGCGTTGATGTTAGATGATAACCGTAAATGTTACGAAGAGAACCATTTTTATAGATGACATTTTGAAACAAGAAAGCGGAGTAAATATTAAAAAAGTTTTTTTATTTTTTTGCAACAAACCATCATTTTTCCCCAAAAAGTATTCTTTTTATTTGTTACGGAAAAATAATTTTTTTAATCTAAAATTTTTAATAATATATTTTTAATAAAAATCGCCTTTTTAAGTTAAAAAACTTTGTTTTTGTTGAAACTACAAAATTCTAAAAAAATAATTTTTTTCTTAATATATTTTAAAAAGAGTTCATATTTTTGAGATTAAAAACGTAAATTTTGTTATATTTTCAATAAATACCTTATTTAAAAAGAAAAACATGGTAGTTGTTTAAACTATAAATAAAAAAATATAATATAAAATTTTCATAATATATTTTTAATAAAGATTACATTTTTAATTTTAAAAAATCAGTCTTTATTGAAAATATAACAAAAAACACATTTTTAATAAAAAAATGCGATGACTATTTAAAATATATTTGAAAAAAGATTTTTATAATATCTTATAAAAATTACTATGTTTTTAAGATAAATAAATTTATATATTTTGAAAATATAATAAAATGAGGGCAAATGAAAAATTTTTTTCATTTTCTCTCTAAAATCTAAAAAAAGCCTAGAAAAAAGAGAGTTTTTTATTCTTCTATTTTTTACATTGTTGAAAATGTAATATTTTTTATGTAGAAAATTTTTTTTCAATCAAACTAAAAATCAAATAATGAAAAATTAGATTAAAAAAAAAAAAATTCATGAACCAAACGCCTAATAAATCTTCGAAAGTACTTCAAATATAAAACTGTCAAATTCTTATAATATTCTTAGTTATGGCTACTATGGAAGTCTGCTTCTTTTGTTTCAATTTTCACACCTGAAAGTAAGAAATTAAAGGTGGGTTGAAAAACTATGAGTATATATTCTTTTGTGTTAATATCTTAAAAATTAAAACCAAAACAAATATGATGAGTTTTCAAAAAGGAAAAAAAATTCAAAGGTATAAAAGCCTCTAAACTATAATTAAAAAATTATCTAAATTTTTATTTTTTATTGTAATTAATCAATTCCTTCAATATTTATTTACATATATAATTAAATCTTTATTTAGATGAAAAATTTAATATCGTTAATTTTTTTAACTAAGATAAAATTTTACGTGATATTAATAAAATAAGTGAAAGTTTGCTACGTAACATAATTAATGTATGTAAAAATTAAATAAAATAAACTAATTTTTCCTATTTTCTCTCCTCTCTCTTTTAAAAGTTTAATTAACTATAATTTAAAAATTAATTGATTCAATTTTATCACGTATCTAAATTTTATTCAATTAAGAATTTAATTGAATAAAAATAAAAGGTTAAAAATTTATAAATGATAATAAAATATTAAAATTTTAACTGACTATTGAATTAAAATTTAAGATCATTTTTTATCCTTCAACCAAAAAATAAAAAGAAACATCATCGGATTGAGATAGATATAGAGACAAACTAGAGTTAGTAATGAGACAAGGGGACAATGTTAGTGTTTAGTTTTGAGCTGCAGTACAAGGGTTTTGTAGGAGAGAACAATTCTAGCCTCCAGGCTTTTGTTTTCCGCTTTCATTCCTTTTCCTTGTCATTCTCGTTAGCCGCTACAAAGAAAAACTCGATATATTCACTCGGTAGTATCCCATAGTCATCATTGTGAAAAGATTCTTCTTAGATGTTAAATTCCTAGCAATTTTTTTCTCTTCATCTTTTTTATGTATGGAGTTAGAGCAAGTGAGATCGGATAGGACCATAGTGTATTAGCTAGATTAGTGTGGTTAGATGTTAATGGATAATTCCAAAGCCACTGCCTTTGCTAGTAGCCTAGTATCGTCCAAACTCAGTCTGAATGAGGTAGATGTTGTCTATATTATTTCCGAATTGAAACTATTTTAATTAAAGATATTCAATCATCATTTTTTCCTAGTTTCTCACCAAGCATTATTCCTAACAGCTAAAAAACATGCAATCAACTATCAAGTTGGATTTTGGTGGGTCTCTGTTTCCTTGGCTGCAATGATGATTTTTCTTTCTTTAAGGAAAAAGATTAAATTCAATTATATGCGGTAGACTCCTTTATCTGATTTTTCTAATTTGCTTCTATTCATGTTTGCAGCAGATCAAACGGTTAATTGACTTTATTTTTTTTTTTTGTATATACCATTATTTAATTTTCCTGATTTTTTTTTTTAGAATCAAATTTTTTTAATGCAAAAGAGGCTGCAGAATGAGAATAGATAAATGAGTTCCAAATGTTATATTTAAATCTCAAATCTATTAGATATTATCTTTTAAAGATAATTGTATGAATCAATTAAATTAAATTTTGGATTTTAGAATCTAATATTCATGAAATAGAGATTTGCCATAAAACAAGGTATACTCTACTCAAGCATCCAGTAATCAATTAAGGATTTTTTTAAGTGACAGTGCGGCACCAAAAGAATACAAACAGCAGACAAGACATATTCCAAAGGCAGGCAAATTTAGTTGTGTTGTACTAAGTTGAATAACAAAAGAAGACAGTTTCTATTCCTTTGATGTAAATTAACTTTGTCGCATAAGTATTTAATACTCTCATCCAAGCATTACTGTAACAAAAAGATAGCTTCAGAAATCTGCTAAGATGCCCACTATAGCAGATGGAGAGAAGAATCTTGAACCAAAGTGGAGAAGGGTTGGCCCCTAAAAAGAGGAGAACTATTACAGAATGCTTAACTTTCTTAAGGTCCTCAAAAACCATGAAAGACTTTTGAGTAAATTTTAATTTTCTTTTCTTTTCAAAGCCTTTTTCAGGGACTAGGTACCACCACCCACTTGCTAAATGACATTTCTTTACAACCCCTATTGTGATGGGGAATCCCTCTAAGCCAAAATCTTCAAATAAGTATCAACAATCGTATGATCTAATAGTAGAATATTAAATTTCAGTAATTAAAATTAAAATTTTAATAATTTCAAATATGTAAAGTCTGGACTATAACATCATATATATATTTAAATTGGTAATTTTTTCTAGTCAATATATGATAATTAATATCTATATATATAGTTTCAATTTCTTAGTAAACCTTTAAATTGCCAAATATATAATAGTGATGAAAGCATATATGGTTGATATCTTAATCTGCAAACTCTAGGCTTACATTAATGGAGTTGAAATGAGAGAAACTGAGAAAATAAATTAATCTACTTTTGTGTAAATTCTAAAGTTTTAAAATTAAAAGCGTGTATAAGATGGCTATGAGTATGTCTTTTCTATTGTTCTTTTTTTCCTCTTTTTTCCCTGCTTTTGTTCAACGGCCTCATGACCAAGAGCAAAAAATGCATTTGTTTACTAATCATGGACCACCAAAGTCATGTTCTCTTAACTGTGATTTAAGGCAGGGAAGTACGGCTTGATGCAGAAGATTGGCCACTGGCAACTAGAGAAGTCCTGTTGGGAACATAGACCAAGATAATAGTATAGTAAATTGGTAATATTAAATTGGGGGATGGGATATATTCTTTGACAACACATACATCTATTTTTGAGGCATTTGGGAATATATACAAAGCTGTCACATGACTTTTTATTTTTTTTAGACTGTTTATTCACATTCTTTGGCATTGTATATTTTCTTTCTATTCACTTTCAAAATTTTAATCAGATTTGATACTCAGCAAATCTTTGATATGTACTTGAATATAAGACTTGATTAACAGCACTCATCCGTTGTGCAAGTTGCATTTGATTCTAGTGTATTGCGGTTGATTGTTAAGCATTTATATAGTGTCAATGAGGGATTAAGTACCTGCAAAAGAAATAGATTGATACATTTTTCGCCATGTTTTAAAGTCTAATTAAAGAAATAGAATATTGCCCAATTTAGTGACCTAATTTGGTAGTTTTACTCTTCGACTTGTCGAAGTGTCCATATGTTTTATATGTGCCCATGATATCCCTTTGCCATTAATTGATTTTAAACCTTTTTTTCCCAACTTGGCCTAGACATCAACAGAAAAATGCTACAAATTCCTTCGTTAAACCTAGGAATATTTAATTCTTGTATCCGTATAAAATTTTTTATTCTCTTCACTTAGAGCATTTTGTTCTTAACGAAGATTTGGTTAAATGGTAAAAAGAAGATCCTGGAATTCTAAAGTTCTAGGTTTAAATCTTACTCTGTGTAAGTTTGGTTCAACTTTAAGTTAAATTTGTTTTAATTATATTCTAATTTATAAGGTAATTTATTTGTTTGATTATTCAGTGATTATGGATATAATAATTTATTATAGTTATAATTTGTACTTGTAATTAAAAAAACATTTTGGCCTTGATAAAGTTATAGAAATCAGAATAATTGGGCATAATCTCATTGTTGGTTGCACACATTAATTCTCTAATTGTTGTTGAATTCTTCAATTAGCATGTATGGCATCTAATTTTTCTTCTTCTTTTATTCATTATTCATATTTTTTCATGTATATTCGATTTTGTGAGAGGATGATTGATTGAAATAAATTAAGCATATAATAATTATAATTAATTTACATAAATGAACAACTTTCATCAATCAATAAATTAGAACTTAAAACTCACGCATAGTACTATTATAACTTCTTTAATTAATAAGTAATCTAAGTCATAGTCACCTTGTTGGGTGTGAAGGATGATTTAACAATGCATAAATCATAATCAAATTCTAATGCTTATCAATGGATTAATGTTCCTCCAAATGCCATGTGTAGACCATATATTTGTAAACTTTAATTGGTCATTATATATAGGCTATGTGGCATTATATACTAAGTCCAGACTTTAAGGAGTCCCGACCAGATGACCTTACAAAATAAAAATTATAAAGTAATGTCTATTGTCGTGTAGAGTGACATAATCTCATGTACAAACCTAAATGGTAGGTAGGTAATCCAACTTTATTGTTTTAATTTATAATTAACTTTGATCTCTTTTTAGGTCATAGAGTTTGGTTGCATCTACTACAAGAAGCACACGTGCATCCTTTTGTCCACGAATTTCAAATTTGCAGCATTTTTTAAGGGTTCTCAATTCGAACTTATTGAGAGCACTAAGTGTTAAGGACCAAGAAGGGGGACCATTGCCATAATTGATAATGAGTCTTTTTCTCAATTCCTTTTAAGATTTAGAGTTCTTCCACAAGCCCTATAAGGCATAAATAGCAGGAGTACTTATATATATACATATTGAAAAAAAAAAAAAAAAAACCTTTAACTCATGCCAACGATGGAAAATTGCCTGCCATTATGTCTTGTATAGGTTCACCGGTTTGTATCATGACTTGCCACGTCTAACGAAAATAATTTTTATCATTTTATCATTTACATATATATACGCAAACACGAATATGCATAAACACATATAAATATACATTTATATAATCACGAATTAGTAGTTAGAAATAACGTATCTGAGTTTAACAAGATATTAATTTTCTCTTTAATAAAGAGATGAGTGATAAAATAGGCATTAATTCAGATAAAGAGGGCCTTGAGTACAACTTTGCAGGCGTTGGAGATGCCTCAGGTGAGGATGGCATCATTAAGGAACAAGATCGGTTGCTTCCGATAGCCAACGTTGGGCGAATCATGAAGCAGATTCTACCTCCAAACGCAAAGATCTCCAAAGAAGCTAAAGAAACCATGCAAGAATGTGTGTCCGAGTTTATTAGCTTTGTTACTGGAGAAGCATCTGACAAGTGTCACAAGGAAAAGCGCAAAACTGTTAATGGGGATGACATTTGTTGGGCACTCACAACTCTAGGGTTTGATAACTACGCTGATCAACTAAAAAGTTATTTGCATAGGTATAGGGAACAAGAAGCTGAAAGAGCTAACCATAATAGGGCTGGCAACCACGAAGAAAAGGAAGAGACATCAAATTACAGAGGTCAACTGCCGAGGAGATCTGCGGTACTTCCATCAACCCCATTGAAGTTCAATGCTATTGACAGGAGTAATAGCTCTCTCTCCAGGCCATTTTGAAAGATATAAAGCATATGGTAATTGTTTCCAGACTTAAATTTACCTTAAGCACTCTATATATGTTTCTGATGATAAAGGTGTTGATCATAATTAGGCAGCGGATCTTGGGCTAAAATGTTTTACAATATTTCTGCTTCTGTGAACTCAAAATCTTAAGTTTGTTTTCTGATTGACTAATATCAGCTTAAGAATTATGAAAATTGAACCTAGTTCTTGTACGTTCCTCCTTGAATTATTGAGTTTTTATTGCAGGTATTTTGTCAGACAAACAATAACACCCCATCCGAGTTCATAACTAGGAATTTATGTTCGAAAATTTAGGGTTTGTCTTATGCTTGCTTAATTTCGATTTTGATTTGAATTCTTAAGTGCTTTGAGTGCTCTCTATTTTCAGGGAAAATTAAAACTTAATTATCACCTGTGCCGTTTGTCCGATGCATAGAATGTGAATTGTGAAGAATACAGCAGTCTAAGATTGTAAGGGTTTTCATTTTTTACCCGTGGCGGTATCTTTGTCTTCTGTAGTCTGTGAACTTTATACGGAGGTTTTTCTTTCTTCTTCTGCCATCCGTGATTCAGATCTAATCAGTAATCACCCATTTGAGAAAAAAGAAGCTAAACATTTTTCAAACCCTTTTTATCTTTGTCAATTATTTGGATACATGAATCATCTTACTTATCAATTTATTTCAATATCTATATAATTTTCAGCTTGTTTTCCAAATTAATTTGTGCTTAGACTTGAAATGAATGAATAGCTAAGACATCAAGGTTTATAATTAGATTTACAGCACTCTCATTCTTCTGACCTCTCCCTCCTCAATCCTTTATAATTAGTCTTCTGCTCAAGCCAAGTGTTTGCGATTATTTTGAATAGAATTAACCATCCAGGTTAAGTGAAATAGTGAATCCGGCCGCATCTACAGCATTTTTCATTTCATGTACCCTTTGAAAATAGTCACACCTATCCAAGGTTAGGGTTTCTCTCTGAAAGTCCCAGATCCTTGGGACCACAGTTGGTATTTGGATCTACTTTTGTTTTGTCGTGAAACGCCCATCAGTTCTTGATCATGCTGCCATTATTATTATTATTATTATTTTACATTAATGTACACAATATTGAAATGGATTTATTAGTTTTCCTTCAACTGAGGATGATTCAAAGTCTAGGTTTTGTAAGTTTTGTTTATAAGTTTGTTGGCAGATGGAGACAAATGAAATAGAGGGGAAAAAAAAGGGTAAACAATTAGGCTTTTCTAGGGTTTCTCATTTGAAACTCCTTGTTTAATCGTTTGAAAGATACTGTCTTAGGGAAAAACGAAAGAAAAAATATACTATTTGATTCCTTTCTTGATAATTAAAAGAAAAAAAAGAATAGAGAGGATGATACGAGAATTTCAGACAGGTAACAAGTTGCGAAATCCCTGACACACTTCATTGGCTTTGCTTTGTAATGAAAATTTCTCCTTTGAAAAGGTAATTGTCAGTGATTCCTTTTTCCTCTCCATTAATTAGATTTAAGCAAGGGTCTAAATCGAAGTATAGAAATTCTTCTGCTTGGTGTCATTATAGATGTATCCATGGAAATTAAGACCAGCAGCTGCTGGAGATGGCCGTAGATTAACAGCTAATTAAAAGCTACCATGACTTATAATGCTTGGGAAAAGACTAACTTATGAGCCCTGCCTGTCACATCTAGCATCTGCATCTAGGCATAAAGGGGACGTGCACCAATGTATTTGATTAATTTCTAAGAAAAATAATTTAATTAAATCTGAGAACTTACGCGTTCGTGATACTGATAGTAATACTACAGCTTACAAAGTAGAGATGCCGAAGCAATAAAACACTATTTTATTCCTTACAAACCTAAGGTTCCTCAGTCAGAGTTTAATAAAGCCTTTAGTAGTGTATTGTTTTAGCACTTCCATGCAGCTTTTATGTCCAGCATACTCCATTCTTTCATTATGTATTCTACAACTCGTATGTCACACCAACCTTGAGCATGCGCTTGTGAGGAATATCAAACAACTTTTCACTTTGTCTCAAGTTTTTCTTCAGGAAATTGTAAGCATAATCTATTAAAATCCTTTTCCCTATTCCTGCTCCTTTGCTTGCAATCACCTCACTCTCACCAATCAAGTGTACAACACCAGCTTGCCATGCTTTATCTACTATGCTGATTTCTCTCTCTACTGTCTCTTGCCAATCCTCTTCAACATGCCTACCATTGATCTGATCTTGTAGTTCATTGTCTGATCCCTCACCCATTTTAGCTGTCTTTCCATTACAAACTAGTGCATGAGACAACCATAGATTTTCTTTGAGGAACTCTTTCAACCTTTCAACCAAAGTCCACTCAAAGGATTCTTGTTCATTACGCATATCTGTATATCCATATCTTACAACACAGCGAAAGACATTTAATTCCTTTGGTTCTACTCTTCTGAAAAGAAATCGTTCTTCAGCTGCAACCTTGCTAATGGGTAGCGATTTGATGGAGACAAAAACAAGAACTGAATGCAATGCTGGTACGTTTTCCAGATAATGCTCAAATATGGGGGGAATACCATGAACAAGCTCTGAGTAAAACATGGCAAGTCCAGGAACTCTGCACAAGTTTGTGTTAACAGTAATCTCCTTTAACCTTTCAAGAGAAATTTTATGATTAAGTTCAAAATTGTATTTTTTTCGGTATACATTGTTCCAAACATACATCACAGTCATCAGGACTGCTGCAAAAGCTAGCGGCAAGTATCCTCCTTGATCAAATTTGTAGAGAACAGAGCTCAAATAGGCTAACTCCACAGAGCCAATGATAAGAACATAGGCGATTATGAAAAGTATATTGGTTTTCCATATCATGATCATGATGAGAACCAACAAGGATGATGTTAGAGTCATTACAAACACCACTGCAATTCCTGTATGCAGTTACTTGTTATTAATTTTAATGCTAATTAAGTTCAGGTACTTAGCAGACTGTCACTAACCAATATTAAATGAAAGAAAAATTGCATCAATGTAAATTAAATAAAAGTTAAAAGCATAACCAGAGTTGTGAGTATTACCATATGCATTGCCAATCTTTTCTGTGGTCCTGAAACCAATAGTAACCCCTACACAAGCAAGCATCAGCAGGTAATTCACCTCAGGAATATAAACTTGTCCTTCATATTTGGGTGATGTATGAACGATTTTGACGCGAGGAAAACACCCCAGCGAGAGTGACTGTTGGATTATAGAGAAAGTCCCTGAAATCATTGCTTGACTTGCTATAATTGCAGCTGCTACAGCCACCACAAACATTGGCCAATACAAAGGGCCTGCATATCATAATTAGCCACCTTAAAATATATATATATACAAAGGAAACTCAAATCAGAAGAAAATTGGGTATCCCTGGTTGGACTTTGTATTTTTCACCTGGAATAGATTTAAAAAAAGCATCAGAGACTAATTTTTCATGTTTACGAAGGAAAGAGGCTTGTCCAGTATAGGCCAGTATGAGAGCAGGGTAAGTCACAGTGCACATGCTTATTTGTATTGAACGAACTGTGAAATGGCCAACATCAGCAAACAATGCTTCCGTTCCTGCAATCCAAAGTGTACGTTTGTAACTAGTACTAAGATTTAGCGACACTTTCAACAAAAAGAGTTGAATTGAATTACTAAGGGAGCAAAATTTTGGAACCTGTTGTGGCAAGAACGACCCCACCCAGGGAGACCCATGCATCCTTTTTGTTCCTCTGAAAGTAATCTACAATGTATTTTGGGTTTATAGCTTTGATGACTGTTGGATCAAATTTAAAGAAGTTGTAAACTCCAATTCCGCCAATGAATGTGAACCAAACGCAAATTATGGGAGCAAAGCTGTAGCCCACTTTGTCAGTTCCAAATCTTTGAACTGTGAAGAGGCAGACCAAGATAACTATTGATATCCAAACAATCCTATCTGTTTTACACCAAATACTTTTATTATGAGCAGTTTGCTTTTTGTTTCCAAAAAAGCCAAAAAAAAAAAATACAGATCAGTTATATTTTCAATTTCATGGTAGGGGAAGAGGCAGTTGCATTAAAATAAGTACATATACCCTCTGTCATTGCAGTTGTAGCTTCCTTTATCCCACTTACAGCTGACAAAACTGCATAAAAAATTTACAATAATTAAATGCTTCTAATTGGTAAAATCAATAATTCATGATGTATGGAAATGAATAGTATAAGTTAAAAATAGGTAAACCTGAGATACAAGGGGTGAGGACACCATCGCCAATGACCATGGAAGTGCCAAGCATTGTGATGATCAAGAGAAAAGTTTTAGCAAACTGGCTATTCTCCAGCTTAGACTTGAGTTTTGATGCTCTTTTAAGACGCTTGCTGGGCAATTCCAGCTGGAAATTGGATACACCATGATCCTCTGCATGTTGACTCGGGATCAAACCCACCCTCGCATATCGGCATATAAGCGAGTACAGGGCAAATGTTCCCCCTGAAAAACATCGACTACATAATTTTTTGCATCCATTTTAAATTGCTGAAAATGGGATTAGATTATCCTATATGTTCAATAAAATTATCATAAGACTTAGATCTTGAATCCATTTATTTTAATTTTGTTTTGAATAACAAGCACTGAACCAGCTGATCATTTAACAAGAATGATGTTACTCTGGCATTTAAGAGACTCTGATTTTCTGGAATTTAAGGAACCGATTAATTTGCCAATTCAGCGTCAGCTCGATTTTATTTTTATTTTTATTTTTTAAATTCAAAATGCTTTCCTTAGGGCATTAAGAAAAGGAAGTTAGCAACCTAAGAAGTAAAGTTCTCCCTCAGATGATATTGTTTACTCTAACTTGATTATTATATAAGACTCGTACGTTATCAGCTGTTCTCCTCCTCAATTTCTAACTTCATCACCAATCACCATGTTCAAAAACAGAGGAAATATTATTAGTTAATTGATTAATTAATTATATTTATTAAAATTTTCTACTTGCATGACATCTCAAGGAAAGATTCAGTTTGGCATTTAACGGAAAAAGTCAAATTTTGTGACCTCTACAAGCTCATGAATGATCTCATCATCTTTAAGACCCTTATTCATGTTGGATTTTTTTTAAGTTCTTAAGATTTGAATTTTGATCAGTGAAACGTTCTAAGAAAATACAATAAAATTAAAAAAAAAAAGTTTGATGGAAGGATTGTATCATGCAAGATTTATAGTTTACTAGCATTAGAAAGAGAGAGGATCACTAGAATAATTGTTTCCTGGATCTTAAACGAATTACTTGTATTGTTAAGCTTGCTTACCTTCACCGTTATCATTGGCTCGTAAGACGATGAAGACGTATTTGATCAAAGGGATGAGAGTGATGGTATAGAAGATCAAAGAAAGAACTCCCAATATGTCGTCGTTGTGATTTATACCATTGGCAAAGGTACTTGCATAAACATAAAGAGGCGATGTACCTATATCTCCGTACACTACCCCAATGCTCTGGAATGCTAGTTGCAGGATCACCGACCATTCCACAGCCTATGAAATTGTTCAATGTTATAAGCACATCAAAGTTTTTTTTACTAGTTTCTTTCCATGGTAAATGAAAAAGGAAGAGGGGGGCCGGAAGTGCGGATATATATACCTGAGAGCCACGTCCATGATGGTTAGCAAGCTTGGCGGATTCCAAGTCCAAGGAATCATATCTGCGCAGCTTTTGAAATGAGCTGTTTTTTCCGCCAGAAACTTCCTCATCATTGTCATTTGACCCGACTTCATCATCCTCATGGGTTTCGTCGATAGCTTCTTGTACAAAATTACTAGACATAATTTACATAACAGATATAAAACAACCGAAGGAGCTTCAAGTGAATGAAAAATGCATAAAAATTACTCAAGCAAAGCCAAAACCAATCCCTGCTTCTTTCTCTTTTCTCTGAAGGACAAATCAGGGGCTTGGGAGTGTGAAAGGCCTACGGGGTATGTAAAGACTGAAGAGCCATAGTCCATAAATATGAGGACACCATATTGGAAGTGGACTATCCATTCATAACTAAATATATAAGTTGATGTCTCATAACTGAGATGAATATTTATTTTCTGATCAATGAATTATGGATGTTCAATATTTTAAATCCAATTACTACGTAATTAATTAGTACTATTTTTATATGTCCATTGTATAATTAATATTCTTATGCACCGAAAAGAATAGATGGTATCTTTATTTGAGATTTATACAATATTAAACTTCTATTAATTTTCAACCTCCAAGGCTTTATTAAATATTTTAATAAGAAACTATACTTTGGTCAATTATACATTCATAAAATATATACCATGGATCCTCAATCCACGTAAAATTATCATTAAAATTTTTTGGCAAAGGTTTTTATGATTTTTAGAGTAGCGTCCAAACTTCGAGATTAGATCAAGAGAATTACAAATAAAATTTTCATAAAATTATTACTTTAAGCATCTTTATTTTTAAAATTGGATTGCATCATACCACAAAATCTAGATTCCTTTTTGGTCAACTGCAGCGTGAGGTACATTTGAATAGCATATTGCTATACAATTGAGTTTACTGTCCCTCTAGAGTCTAATCTCCAACTAAATAGGGAAGAGTCAAGAAGTTCATTAGAATCTAGGACAGTTGTTTTTTTTTTTTTGTTTAAGGCAATTGGCTGTTATAGTGTAAAATTGAAATAAAAGACATTTTTCAATTATAATACTAGATCATCTTTGATCACGATTATCATATTTAATTTCATTGTTATTATTTTATTTACATAAAAATATATATATTATTATTGATTTTAATTTTATTATTATAATAATTAATTTTATCTTTACCGTTATTTTTAATTTCACAAAAATCGATCTCCATTGTTCATATAAATGGATTCAAAATCAGTGTAAATTATTTTATTGTAATCGGCTAAAAAAATTATTTTCTTGTAAGTACAGCCTAGTTTCGCCTAAACACGAATTAACACTGTTTCTCAGGTTATATCTATCTATTCAACATTGCACATAAGTCAAAAGAATGTGAAACTATGTCACAATTGGGGCCACCATAATTGAAATGCTTGTCAAACATTTTAAACATAAAAATTCAGACATACACTTAAAAACTACTATATATTTTGTTGGAAATTTCAAGCTAAAATGTATTAAATCATACCCTATTTAACGTAGCTTGACTCCAACCATTTACATCTACAAGGAAAGTTAAAAATCAATTTACCATAAACGTAAAAATTATAAAAAAAAATAAAAAATAATCTCAAACTCCAAAACAAATTTAATTTTCACATTTTTTAGTGCTTAAACACGCAAAACACTTTTATATATATAAACCTGGCATTTTCTCGATCTTTAACTCTTCCTCTCATTCCTACAAATTTATCTTCCACATAAAGATCACATCCTTGCAAACCCATCCTTACATTAGTGAAACGTTATTTGATTTTAAAATCAGGACATGTAAGTTTTAACGAAAACTTACAATTTTTTTTATATAAAGAGTTTGATTTTGACTTCTTTTTCAAATAAGAAAAAATTTGTACATAAATATTTCTTAGACATAGTTGTCCAATTTAATCGAATGATAAACTATATTTGCCCATCTAATCATTTATAACAACCCATAGATTCAACTGCACCAACTATTGGAGCAAAGACTTTAATTAATCAATTGGATGTTGGAACAGACAAAAGAAAAAATAAAGAAAAAGTAATAAAGAACTGCAATTATTTCAACAAAGGCTTAGTCCATTGGAACAGACATGAGAAAATAATAAAAATTGTACAATAATTGAAATTTCAACATATTTATTTAATTTGGACGAATCAAAAGATGTGATTTAAACAAAAGTAAAACTATTGTGTCTCATTCAAACATATGAAGACCTAAATAATGATATAATAATAAAATGTTGAAAATGAGTAATTTGAATCACTAGAAGCGAATAATCATCAATATTAAAAGAAGTTTTCTTTTTATACATTGCCAATATAATTTTTAATTTTATAAGTGAAATTAAAAAATTAATATAGTTCATTTTTTTTTATTTTTTTAATAATCTCAAAGGATTCTATTAAAAAAAATAAGCCTAAAAAATATGTATCATGTGAAATCTAAAAACTTCATTAATAGCAATTAACAACAATAGATAAAATAATTTTTCTATTAAATAATAGTTGCCTAAAATTACTTTTATCATGATGTGTCTAGATGATTTTTTTAACTAGATTTTATTTCAAGTTTTCCAAGTTTATAATTTTAAGGTACAAAAAATTAGCCTACTCACGTCAAATTAAATTAATTACGATCTGACCATTTGCGGTCAAGAATTTTTTTCATATGCATTAATGAATTCCATTAATTAGATTAAAAAGTAAAATTATATATTTCCTAACTTTGATTAGGTCAATTTCTGTCATATTTATTAATAAATATTAGATTAAAAATGAATAATAAATTAAATTAAATGTCAATCAAAGCTACAATAGTTTTTTTTTTTTTTTTTTAATTCCTACTCTATCTATAAACTTCTTACCTAACTACATACTTAATTGAAAAAGATAATACACACCTAAATTACAATGTTTATTTATTTTTCTTAAGTTGGAAAACAATTATTGCAATGTTTTTCAATATTGAGTTCAATCTAATTAGGATGTTTTTTTTTCTAGCTAGCTTTTAAGAGTTTTTTTACTTAAGCACAGTAATTTAAAAAATTATTTCCTAAAGTATAGTGTTTTACTTAATCATAGTAATTTAAAAACTTATTTCTTAAAGTTTGTGTAATAAACTATTAATTTTTTTCAATGATAGGATCATTTGATTTGATTTAAATAAAAGGAATATATATTAAAGTGATATAATTATTTTATATAATCTTTTCTGCATTTTAATCTTACTTCTCAATTCATAGTGATTTTTGCCATATCATCAACTATAATTGTTTTTCTTATTGATTTTTATAAAAATAAAAAATAAAAATAAAAACAATCTCTCTCTTCCTCATATCATTTTATTCCCCCCCGCCCCAAAAAAAATAATTTGTTTGCTTCATTTGTTGCCGAACATGAAGTTCTCCATGCACAGGTTGTTCAGCAGTTAGCACATCCCTAATCTTGCACGTATCGTTCCACACTTTTCTACATCCATGGTGTTGAAAAATTTATTGAATTGAACAATCAGATTCACTCCGACATTACGTGGAAGCCGCCCTCAATGAGCCAGTTGAGAGCTGCCCAGTTATTTTCTCCGTAAAGATGGCAACTGTGAGATAAAAAGGTGAAGATGGATGCGAAAGGGATAACAATATGAAGCTGCTTCAACATCAGCCCTACCCCAGTTATGCCAACCACCTAAGCCTTTATCCAATATTTCTTTATATATGAAATCGCTTTTGTTTTGTCGGGATTGCAGTCCTATGAGGAAAAAGCTAGAGCTTTCCTGTACCAAAATGAAAAAAAAAAAAAAGCACTTTTGACGCTAAAAATGCTTTTTTTGTTTTTTTTTGGTTACAAGTAAAAGAGCTTATTTAAATTAAATAAAAGATCTTGTCTAACTGGAGTAGCAATGAGATCAATTTTGGAACATTGAAGATTTAAAATTTCACCCTAATTTCTCTTATTTTTTAGTCCCTATCTCTTTAACTTTTCCCTTTTCTTTTTTTGAAAAAGTATAATGAAGTCCGAAGAAAAATTGCTGTCCAGATAATTACATTCAGATTAACATAGGGAAGTTTAGAGAAGTTGTCTACACATTTTTTTATTCAATTCAAATTATTGGCGGATCTACTTTATCATAAATTTAAGATATTTTAATCAGAATTACATTCATATTAAAGAAAAAAGTTGGGTCTTAGTTTCTTTTTTCATATGATTTATATAAATAATGAGATAAATCTTAAGTCTTTTCAACAAATTAAGAGATAGTTTATGAATGGTGTCATAACGGTTTTAGGATCGTCAGACGTAAATGAGTTTTAAAATCGAGAAAAATAAAATAGAGTCGTCATCAATCTTTGTTAGGGTGTGATTGATTACTAAAAAATTTATCTTTTTAATAAAATTGTAAAAGTGGATTTAAATTTTATCAAAAAGATAAATTTCGGTTTACAAAAATTAGGTTAGGTTCGGGAGTTGGTTACGTGTGGGGAATGATTAGCACCCCACAATGCTCATAAATTGGTACCATTTAATCATGCACTATTTTCGGTGTTTGATAAAATGATTTTGACTTGAAATTTAATACTAATTCCCTTCGTTTAAAAAAATATTTTTGCTAAAATTTTTATTTAGAAATATCGAGAAAATCTTTAAGTTAAAGAATTATCTTAAAATTCTTCAACATCAAGTCAGAATTTAAAATAACTCTTTTCGCTTAAGATTTAACACAACAATCCTTAAAATGAAATAACACTCTTTATAAAAAATTGTTAGTGACTCTCCAACATCTAGATAGAGTACCAATAATTATTTTCTTTGGAATGTTATTTTTATTTTGTTTTAAAATTGCATATTTTTAAAAACAAGTAAATAAAAAAAATTTTGTACGAAAAAAAATAAAGGATGATACTATCAGGTAACAAACAAATATGCAAAATTAGTGCAAATAATAACAAATAAATGCATGTAAGCTAATAGGTGCTATGTATAATGAAATGCAAATTTGAAATTGGATTCTTAAATATAATGAGACCATCTTGACTCCACAACATCTAGGCGGAGCTTAGGTGCGACTGTTCATATTTAAGATCCCATTTTATGTTATTATACTTTTTATTTATTAATCTTATTATTAATGCG